TAGATAGTATAAAACATGTAACACAATGAATGATCTGACAGTCATTATCTGCTACTTTGATTTTTTTTTTCTTTTTGCCTGAGACTTCTTAACCAAGTTTCTTAGGGTAATGCTAACATCAGTTATCATTTCTTGAACGCTTAGTGGCCACTCAGTCAAAGGAACCCAGCAGTCAGAAGAATTATTTGAAGACTCCTGAAGCAATTAGGCTGCATCAAGCACTCTCTGTTTCCAGGGCACTCAGTGCATATTTCCAATATAACTCTTAACACATTGTATCATACGTTAATCTATTCACGTTTGCTCCTGGAAGGCAGGAAAATGTGACCAGCAGAGCATGGCTCACATTTATTTATTTATTTTTATATTTATGAACTAGACCGAGTCTTACTCTGTCATCTAGGCTGAAGTGGAGTGTTGCAATCTTGGCTCACTGCAACCTCTGCCTCCTGAGTTCAAGCAATTCTGTGCCTCAGTCGCCTGAATAGCTGGGGTCGTAGGCATGCGCCGCCACACATACCTATAATTTATGTTGTTGTTTTTTTGTATTTTTAATACAGACAGGGTTTCACCATATTGGTCAGACTGGTCTCAAACTCTTGGCCTCAAGTGATCCACCCACCTTGACCTCCCAAAATACTGGGGTTACAGGCATAAGCCACCATGCCTGGCCAGTATTCTTTAAGTATTTGATTAAATGTCTTGTTTTGCACCACTGTTTCGAGAAAACAGCTTCTTCCTCCTTCAGTTCAGCGTTTCTCACCCAGAGGCTGTGTGTGTGTGTGTTTAGGTGTAGGTTCTATGGCTTTATTCTCAAGGGCTTAAGAATTCAGTACACACCATTACATATGCTCTTTTTATTAAATGAAAAAGCATATTGTGAGTCATCAGGAGGGATGTTTTAGCAACACTGATCCACTACAGTGATGGTGGTTAACACTAAATTAGCATTGCTGAAATGTGCCCACAAGAGCTTCTTATAGGGATGTTCTCAGGAGGCCTGAAAGTCCATGTTTGGGGATGTTGCTCTCAGGCATAGTTAAGATGCACCTTTTTCTTGGAAATGCCTCCCTCAATGCACCAGTCACACAGTCACATGACCCTGTAGCACTTACTACACCATCTATTATGACTCTTACGGGTTTTCCCACCAGCTCTCTCACCCCTCTCCCCAGAGTCAGAACTCTGCTTCCGTAATATTTACTTATTTTACAGCATTCATGGAGCTCTTTGATAATTATGCATTGACAAGTCTGTCTCTCCTACTGGACACTAAGAATGTACAGTTCAGGGCTGTTCAGCCTTGTGTACCCAGCACAGTGCTTGCTCCATGGACTAAGTGCTTGTTAAGTTGGTCAGATTGAGTGAAGAGGTGACTGTGTCAGGCTTCGGACAAACACATGTTTAAGGTCTTCACATTCTCTTGACATGAGACTCACTGAGTGATTTGTTTTTCATTTCTTTCCTTTTTTTTTTTTGAGGTGGAGTCTTACTCTGTTGCCCAGGCTGGAGTGCAGCGGTGCCATATTGGCTCACTGCAATCTCTGCCTCCTAGGTTCAAATGATTCTCCAGCCTCAACCTCCCAAGTAGCTGGGATCACAGGCATGTGCCACCATGCCTGGCTAATTCTTGTATTTTTAGTGGAAATGGGGTTTCACTATGTTGGTCAGGCTGGTCTCAAAATCCTGACCTTAGGTGATCTACCCACCTCTGCCTCGGAAAGTGCTGAGATTATAGGTGTGAGCCTCCATGCCCAGCCGCCTCTGGAACTTTTCACTGTCCAACTTCAAGGTAGGGTTCCCATGACTCCCTCTTTGGGTTTGATTAATTTGCTAGAGAGGCTCACTGAACTCAGGAAAACACATTTACTGGTTTATTGTAAAGGATATTGCAAGGGATACAGTGAAGACATATGTAAGGTGAGCTATAAGGAAGGAATGAAGAGCTTCCATGCCCTCCCCAGGTGCAACAACCTCCAGGAAATGCCATGTGTTCCACAAGCTCTCCCAACTCTGTCCTCTTGGGCCTTTTATGGAGACTGTTGGATAGGCATGATTGACAACCATGTAGAAATGTGACTGACAAAAAGGGTATGATTGAACACTAATAGACTGACTGGAGAAACCCAGCAAGCCCTGTCTGTTCAGATCCTTCTGGCCTCTTTATGCAGCTTTCCTTCTTCCAGGGTTTGGGACAGGACCCCTTCAGAAATGGGAGTCTTGTGACCTACAATCAGACAGGGTAGGTCAGAGAATTTTTTTACGGCCGGCTCCTACACAGTAAGGTGGGGAAGATGCCTATCTTTGGGACAAAAAGTAGCAGGTGAAAGTATATCAGAAGGTCGGAGAGAGATTCTGTTTTCTGAGGCCTGTTCCTGAGGCCTTAAGTTGCCTCAACATTATAACAAAGGCTATGAGAGTTATGAGCTAGTAGCTGTGGACAAAAACCCACATGTATATACGTCATGATATCACAGATGGTAAGCATGGCTATTTTCTGATGTGTCTAATTTCCAATATACTTCGTCTTGTTTCTGTCTTTAGTCTGTTTCATGTCACTTGGTTTCCTCATGTGCTTAGTTATATTTAACTTCCTGCTTGTCATTGAATCTTATAAGTTATTTGTTAGAGTGTCAAGTCTTAGGATGAACCTAAGACACAGAGTTCTGTGCGTATTTTCTGGGATATAAAGAACAGTTCCAGTCTGGTGCCTCCAGAACCAAGCAGGCTCACAGTTTGAAGTTCCCTGGCACACCCAGGTGTGAGGCTCAAAGGTTTATGAGCCTTATTTCATCATGGCCTGGTTTATGGACATTCTTTATTAGGATGGGTCTATTTTAAAATTTCCTTTTTCTTTTCTTTTATTTGGAGCCACTCTGGCCTTCTCTGTAGCCCTGTGAGTTTGAGGACAGGCAGTTTTGATGTCTTTGGGCCTAGAATCTTGGCTCTGTTGTCCCCCTTTCCTGAAGCCACAGAATGGAAGCTGAGTGTACTTGAATGGCAATTGGCTCTTACTTCTCTAGGTATCCCCCAAGATTGACCCAGGAGTTCTTGCTCTCTTTAACTCTTCAGTCTTTTAAAGGTAGTTCCTCACCGCCCCTCAAGAAGTATGTATCGTATCTAGGATTTTCTTTTCCTTCCCTCCATCCCTCTCTCCCTCCCTCCCTCTCTCCCTCCCCGCCTCCCTCTCTGCCTCTGTCCCACTCTCTCTTTTCCTCCTTCCCTTCTCCCCCTACTCTTTGTCTTCCCTCCTTCCCTCTCTCCTTTTATTCCTTCCTCTCCTCCTTCGCTCCTTCCTTCCTTTCTCTTCCTCTCTCCCTCTCTCCTTGCTTTCTCTCTTTCTTTCCTCCTCCTTTCCTTCCTTTCCAGCAGGATAGTTTGGAATAACTTAGTCCACTAACCCTAGAAACAGGAGATCTAAAAATCTATTTAGAAATAGTAAATTATTAACAACTGACAATAAGCCTTAAAATGGTTATCCCCTTTTGGGATTCTTTCAAACTTGTCAGTCAAGGCAGAGAACATAGACCATGAGTCAGTATAAAAATATGTCACTTACATATTTCCAGTAAAAAGATTCTTAAAAATGACCCACAATTATAAAACCTTTCCAAGAAATGAGTAACCTGAATGATTAGCCTAACTTACTAGAGTTTATTCATTACGCTTACCATCAAGATACTTCCTAAGGCAAGAAGCCAAACTGGCTTAAGCCACAAAGGTATTTGTTGGTTTGAATGGAAAGACCTGGGATGGATTACTTCAGGAACAGGTGGATCCAGGAACTCAAATATTATCATTAAGCATAGTGTCTGTCTGTCTGATCTGTATTAACTGTAGTCTCTGGCAAGCTCTCCTTTGGTGGTGAGATGGGTTTTAGGAACTCCAGACTCACAGTCTGTGCTCGAAGTCAATGATCTCCAAACTTTGTTGATTATGTACCCAGTAATAAAAGTTGAGCATAATAGTCTCAGTGAGTATATATTCCTTTATATATGATATGCTACTTGATACTACTTTTATGAGTTATATAATGTATATTCTTTGTTATGTTGTACATGCTGTAAGTTATATTGCTATGTTGTATGTATATTCTATGTTATACTAGTTATGGTATTCAATTTTTAGTTTTTAATGTAAAGAATGAAATAGAAATACTAATAATTTTTACACTCCCAATGGATCGTTTTCTACAACCCACTTTGGGACTATAATAACAGTCCTGTGAACCACGTCTCATTGGTTTTTTTTTTGAGATGGAGTTTCGCTCTTGTTACCCAGGCTGGAGTGCAAGTGGAGTGGAGGTCACAGTGAGCCAAGATTGCACCACTACACTCCAGCCTGGGTGACAGAGCAAGACTCCCTCTCAAAAAAAAAAAAAAATTAAAAATTAAAAACAAAACAGCCAAGAATTATAAAAAATGGATTTTACTTGCAACACTCATCAATTCCTACATCTTAACATAGAGCATTCATCTGTCACTGGAGAAAGTATGTATGTTTATGTTTGTGTGAGTGTGTGTGAGTGAGTATATGAATAAAAACCAGATAGGGCTGTGCTATAGCGGGCCTAGAGTTAGAACCCAGGCTGGAGTACAATGGTATGATCTTGGCTCACTGCAACCTCTGCGTCCTGAGTTCAAGTGATTCTCCTGCCTCAGCCTCTTGAGTAGCTGGGATTACAGGCGGGCACCACCACCCCTGGCTATTTTTGTTGTTGTTGTTGTATTTTTAGTAGAGACAGGGTTTCACCATGTTGGTCAGGCTGGTCTTGAACTCCTGACCTCATGATCCACCTGCCTTGGCTTCCCAAAGTGCTGGGATTACAGGCATGAGCCACCACACCCAGCCAATTTTTCAGATTTCTAAAGAGAAATGGAATTCCCTGGTTGGAGAGAGAGTTCTACTTAAATAGGTAAAGCAAGTGAATAGAAAGTATTTTTTTCTATGAACTGAGGGACAGGCTTTCCTGGGTATTTAAAATTGATCTTCTGTGGCAGAAATGCAATGGCACATCATGATTCTGAGATGAAAGAAGAATGTCTAAGGGAAGACCTGAAGTTTTACTTCATGAGCCCTTGTGAAAAATACCGAGCCAGACGCCAGATTCCATGGAAACTGGGTTTGCAGATTTTGAAGATAGTCATGGTCACGACACAGGTAACTTATATTATTACCTCATTTGGTTTTTCCCTTACCCCCAGACAAACTCTTTTCGTGTCTTCTGTACTTGACTTTTGTTCTGAAAAGTTCACACTCAAGTTTATAAAACTAAAATTATATTGACTCTGGAGAGCAGAGGGTAGGTTGAAGTTCTGTTTAGAAGATGATCTTGTCTTACTAACAGATCCTGAGGTCCTCGGTGTACAGATTCTGAAAATACTGAATAAATGTAGATTTGTGGTGAGGGGTTTCTGTATCTGAGTGGCGCACATTTGTGTTATTGAAATCTCTTTATTAAACACATCTTATTCAATATACTTTCAAAATCTGCGTTTTTGTCTTCAGACTTAGTGAATCCTGAGTTTTCCTTTTAACATACCAATATGCTCTATCTAAGTAAATACTGATCCCAGGCACTATCAGGATTATACAAAGCTACCTTTGGACCTTTTATTTGCATTCATATTATTAAGCTCTTTATTACCAGTATCAAAACAGCCATCAGAGTTTTCCTCTAGTTTTGGGCCTGTATTGCTGAACCAATACTAGGGAGGCTTTTCTGTAGGTCAGAGGTTCCTAACCCTGTTACACAGCAGGAGGTGAGTGTAGGCAATGGAGCAAAGCTTTATCTGTCTTTATAGCCACTCCTGATGGCTTGCAGTACTGCCTGAGCTCTGCTTCCTATCAGATCAGTGGTGGCATTAGGTTCTCATAGGAGCACAAACCCAATTGTTAACTGCACATGGGAAGGATCTAGGTTGTGTGCTCATTATGAGAATCTAATGCCTGATGATCTGTCACTGTCTCCCACCATCCCTAGATGAGACCTTCTAGTTGCAGGAAAATAAGCCAAGGGCCCCCACTGATTCTACGTTATGGTGAGTTGTATAATTGTTTCATTACATATTATAATCTAATAACAATAGAAATAAAATGCACAACAAATGTAATGCATTTGAATCATCCTAAAACCATTACCACCCCCATCTCCTGTCCATGAAGAAATTGTCTTCCAATAAACCAGTCCCCATTGCCAATAAGGTTGGGGATCACTGCTGTAGTTAACTGTATTTGAAACACATGCCCTTTTAAACTGATTTGGGGGTATTTGGCTCTACTGGAAAATAATCATTCTCTTATCAGTGTAGAAGTGTGTAAAGATGTCATTTCTGGAACATAAAAATAAGTACTTAAGAAATACCTTCATGTAGTTTAGAAATGGGAGAAGATCCCTCCATAACTAGAGTTGCTTCTTTATTCTGCATCATAAAGAGGCTTCTCAGTGTATGACATGCCATATGTACCAACTCATCAAGTTTAGGGAAAGCAAGTTACTTCAAAAGAAACAACAAAGTTGAGATGCAAAGACATTTTAAAATGTGTATACTTATTATTAGCTTGTTTTCATTATTGGATTTGAAATTTTGATTTGGTAACCAATAAAATGGATACACTGATATGCTGTTAGTATTACTTGGAAGGAAAAGAAATAATGTCCCCTTTTGTCAGTTGGTTAATTTTAATTGTTTCCCAATTTCTTTTCTTGTTAAACCAACTTCCTTCAATTATTTGATCTATTAAAGTTACTAAAATTCTAATTTACTCAGGCATAAAATATCATTGCCATCTGTATTAGTGTGTTCTCCCATTGCTATAAAGAACTACCTGAGACTGGGTAATTTATGAAGAAAACAGATTTAATTGACTCACAGTTCTGTAGGCTATACAGGAAGCATGGCTGGGGGGGCCTCAGGAAAATTACAATCATAGGGGAAGGTGAAGAGGAAGCAGGTACATCTTCATATGGCGGAGCATAGGAGAGAGCAAAGGGAAAGGTGATACACACCTTTAAATAACCAGATCTCGTGATAACTCGCTCACTATCATGAGAACAGCAAGGGGGATGTCTACTCCCATGATCTAGTTACCTCCTCCAACATTGGGGATTATAGTTTTACTTGAGATTTGGACAGAGACACAAATTTAAACCATATCATCATCTTTGACTTGCCTTATTTTTCCTGATACCGTCTACATCTTATCGATTCTTCCTCAAAAACTGCATCTATTTATGTTTTCCCACATTCACTATGTTCTCTCTAGCACAGACTCTGTAGTTAATTAAAAAAAATGGAAAGCATCTCATATTCTGGGCATTCTGTTGGGAATAGCTGACTGTATTACCAGTGCTGTTAACAGCTAATAGTTAGCTTGGTGTTTGCCATGTCCCAGTCACAATATATGTTTTGTGTACATCAACTCATTTCATCCTCATTACAACCCTGTGAGGTAGGTTCAATTATAATACGCTTTTTATGGATGAAGAAACTGGAGCAAAGGGAGTTAAGTAATTTGCTTACAGTCCTTTAATTAGTAAGTGACAGAACTAGGATTTGAGCCCGGGCAGTCTGGCTCTGGAGTCTGTACTCTTCTCTTACTGTTTCTATTCTAGATATAGGTCCTGTCTTTAGAGTTTGCAGTGTAGGAATATAGATAAGTTAGTTAGGCTGCTTCTAGCTTTGTCTTATGCCTACCTTTCTTATCCATGTACACTCAACACTAATATCAGCTTAAGTTTTTGTAGAATAGCCTTTATTGTGTCACTCTCCTAGAAGAAAATTTCACCTCTCTAGTCTGGAATTCAGAGTTCCAGTCTCTTTCAGCTTGTCTTTCCAACAAGTTTTTATCTACTGTTTCTTACCCAAATCCCAGCCAGACAAGCCAACCCAGTGATTCTCGTCCACATCCTGTTTGTTCCTCCAACCAGAGTGATTCGTTTTCTCCCTCACCTTTCAGGTACTATTTGAAGTTCCATCTCCCCTGCTGGGTCTTGCCTGACCATCTGGCACATGGTTTTCTTTGGTACATCTTCCTGTCTACATCGCTAATTTTATTTTTTCTTATATTTTCAAGATGGGAGGTCTCGCTGTGTCAGCCAGGCTGGAGTGCAGTGGCACCATCATAACTCGAGTGTGAGCATTACTGCAACCTTGAACTCCTGGGCTCAAGAGATCTTCCCATCTCGGCCTCTTAAGTAGTTGGGACTATAGCACATACCACTGCACCTAGCTTTTGATTTTATATTTGTAGAGATGGTGTCTTGCTTTGTTGCCAGGACTGGACTTGAACTCCTGGCTTCAAACAATCCTCCTACCTTGGCTTCCCAAAGTGCTGGGATTAAAGGCATGAGCTACTGTGCCCCTTGCCTACTAATTTTACTTTTAATAACAAAATATTTCTGGGACCTATAGTTTACTTTTCATGTGGACATACCCTGTTTTCCCTAATAAAATTGGGAAGGATTAAACTTTTGTTTCCATATAGGATCATTCTAACAAATTTTGCTACTTGGGTGATATCTAATTGGAGCAGATGTTTTGATTACCTTTCCTTCCATAACATGTCACTTTTCTCTCTTATTTTTCTGTCTTTTTGTGATCCATCCTCAAGTGTAATGGGATGGGTATGAGGGTTGATGAGAAAAAAATTTTTTTAAAATTTCTACTCTGCATTCTGAAGTAATTTATAATCTTGAAGGAGGTGCCTATATTCTTTTGCTAGTTCTATTCTTTCCCTCCCATATACTTTGTACATAATTAGAGCAGTATCTTGTTTTTACCTGGTACAGAATATTTTATCCTACATTGATTTCATAATGAGGTCTTACATTCACAACCTTTGCCAGACTACACTTATAAGTAATTATTTTTCTGTCTTGTATCATACTTTCAGCAAATCCTAATGTCTAATTAGTGGAACTAGGATGCATTTTGCTGTCAACTCCTTTAAAAAACCCAGTTATTTGGCCAATACCATCATCCCTTACTCTTGCTCTACAGGGAGTGTTTGGTTCTGTCATAGCAAGAAAGGGATTTTGCACTTTCCTCCACAGGGTTTGTCTCCTTAGGAGATGATTTGAAAATCCCAAACTTCACCAGTGCTGGGCCATACATTTTGATCTTGGCTTGTTCTGTGAATAGAATGGAGGAAACTTCTTGCTCCTGATGCCAGATAGGGGAGGTTCCGATTAGAGATTACAATGGAGTTCTCTCATTCCCAAAGCTGAGTTTTGGTGAGCTTTGAGTTTAAATAAAGTTATGGCTTCAAATATCAGCAAACTATATGCCACTTTCATGGTCAATTTGTTCATTCCCTAATTCACATTCTCTTTGTATTTCTTTAGCTTCACTATTAATGTGGGAGGAATGGGTCTAATATCCCTGCCTCTAGAGTTAAATTGGCAGCATTTCAATTTAAAAGGTTGTGGGACCAAGAGGTTGAGAGAACAAACAGACTAGAATCAGAAATATCTGGGTCTAGATCCTTACTCTAATGCTTTCTGGATATTCCAACCTGGATAAATTACTTGACTTTAGATTACATATGTATAAAATGGGATTATATTCATTAACTGATTCAGTATTTGACGTTGTGAAGAGCATTATTTCATTTCCTGAGTATATGATGGTAGGGGAAAAAGAAAAACATTCCTGTCCTTGCAGAGCCCCATGTAATAGCTCCCTCACAGGGCATTGAGAATTAAGTGAAAAATAATAATTAGAAATTTTAAGCACAATGCTTGGTTCTCAGCAGATAAGAGTTGTTATTCAATACCATGCAGTGTTGTTCTTGCCCACATTGTACCCCAGCTTGGCTTAGAGTAAGCACCCAGCAAACTTTGATTGAAGAACGTCATTCATGTGTGGTATGTGTACCTGTTTTTTTCATATGTGTCAGTAGTTTTAAAAAATTTTGAAACAATCATGTATGTGTTGTTTCCCTGGTTGACATTTTAGCTTTCAAAGAGCAACGTGACATTTTCTGGTTTCTCCTACGGTACCATTGGCAGACATCACATGCTTAGAAGAACTTATAACCTTCTGTTGCTTAATTTTCAGCACAAATTGGATGATGTGGGACTTCTTATCTGATGATGTCCTTAGAATAGCTGGGTTTTAGCAGTTGCACAGTCCTTTGACATGGCATTTGAGGAATGTGACATGGTGAGATTCAAATGCTGAACAGTAGCATCTGTGTACATTCTCAAGTGATAGTTGCCTTTCCTAATTCTGAAAAGCTAGCACTTAAATTTTTTATAAGAAGCATCCCAAAGAACTTTTTCAGCAGAAGAAAGTTGTTTTTATAGCATAACAAAGATGACTTTGGAATTAGACTTGGTTTTCATTCTGGTTAGGTGACTCAGGCAATTTAATGAGGCTAAATCTCAGTTTCCACATATGCAAAATGGAAAAACAATAGTAACATTTTCACAAACCACTTGGGGTAAATGAGACACTGAATGTAGAGCAGTTAGCACAGTACCTGGCACATAATAATTGCTGAAAATGGTGGCTATTTTTCCTAATTGATTAGTATTTTTAAGAAAGTCAGACAACATATAAAAGTTAAAAAATATAAACCACTAAAAAAATTTTATGCCTGTATGTTGTTTGCATATGCAAATTAATATTAGCTATTTTACTTTTTTTTTTTTTTTTAGAGACAGGTCTTGCTATATTGCCAAGACTGGCCTTGAACTCCTGGGCTTAGGTGATCCTCCCACCTTGGCCTCCCAAGTAACTGGGACTACAGCCACAGGCTGCCACACCCAGCTAAATTAACCTTAGTTTTATCTGAATTGTTCAGAATTGATATCTTGTATGTTATTGTTCAGATGTATCATCTTGAACCATGGAATGACAACAAATAGCAGAACTGTCAGGGTCATCTAGTTATACCTGCTAATTTCACATAGGAAGAAAACAGTCCCAAAATTTGATGGCTTAGTTGAGTGAAGACTTGGAGCAAACTTTCTAGTCTGATTGTTTTATAAGGCAATGGGATGGGGCTTATAGAGATTTGACTACCATCACTGCCTGTGTGTGTATGTGAAAGAGACAGGATGCCAATGAGAGTTCATGTGTGTGAGTGTGACTGCACGCTTGTGCATGTGAGAGTGGATGCGTGATGGGGTATGTGTGTAGCTCTGTTTGTAGTTTCCTAGGTTTTTCGTAAACTTTTGATACTAATTTGCTCTCTTTATTGGGTACCAAGAAGAAAACTTTCACTTCCAGTGAAGAGAGCTCTTGGGTTCCTAAATTCTGCCAGAATACAGTGAAAGAGAGAATAAGTGGACATTTTTTTGGGACTAGGTAGATGCTTGGTGACAATGAATGGGTTTGACATTATATAGGTAAAGCATGCTCTGTTATTCTTTCATGTGCTTTGATACTATAGAATTTGGTGAAAATTCTTGCAGAGCTGGGTTAGTTGAATTCCTTTGACAACTATTACCTCCTAGCCAGAATAAGTATTTATGTAGGCTACTTTCCAAAAAACACTTTTAAAAGCCATGTATAAAGCATAGTTGTGATTTTTAAAAAATACTACTGAGTTAGTGTTTTACTAAGTAATCAATTTTGAAAACAATTAATTTGAAATCTAAGTATGAGAAAAATGGATTTAGACTTAGCTGATTGGGATTCTTTCTTTCTTTAATGAAAGGCCAGTAAGGTCACTAGTCATTGGGAGTGGTAATCTCTTCTAATTTTATGCTATTTTGAATTGCTGGTGTAACTTGATGAGGTTATTCATCTTTAGGACTTGTATTTTGTCATTGGTGCTAGTAGTATAAACCAAAAAAATTGATATTATTTTCTGATGTTTATAGGTAATGGTTGATGATAGTGAGACAACATTTGCCTCCCCTGATAAATGGTATAATTTATGTATTTCTATTTTATTTCTTAGCTTGTTCGTTTTGGTTTAAGTAACCAGCTGGTGGTTGCTTTCAAAGAAGATAACACTGTTGCTTTTAAGCACTTGTTTTTGAAAGGATATTCTGGTATAGATGAAGATGACTACAGCTGCAGTGTATATACCCAAGAAGATGTCTATGAGAGCATTTTCTTTGCTATTAATCAGGCAAGTGTTTTGTTGTGAATGATCTATACTTTAACAATGTATGATACTTGGCTTTGTCTTAACAAACAAACAAAAATTAAACATATGTTAAAATATTCTAATGTAAGTTTTGCATAGTCTGCCAAAAAATGAACTTTGCTATTTCAGAAGCTATATTTTCGCACAAACGAATTTGCCTATTTTGACTTTTTAAAAAAGATCTATCCTTTTAATTTATTACTTAATACCTACTGCTTTTGGAGAATTACCCCAGATCAAATAGCAAGAGTAGATTTTTAATCTCAGAAGGCTTGATGAAAGCTTAATATAAAAATCAAAGATTCTGGCCTTGATGTGGTGGCTCATGCCTGTAATCCCAGCACTCTGGGAGGCTGAAGTGGGTTGATCCTTTGAGTGTGGGAGTTTGAGACCAGTGTGGGCAACATTGTGAATCCCATCGCTACCAAAAAAATATATATGTCAGGGATTCTATGGTCTTAATTGTGATGTTTTAGCATTAGTAACCCTAGCTCAATCTTAAGAATATGGAATATAAAATAGTTGTATCTAGACAGGTGTGAGAAAGCAGATTGGTTGACTTGAAGAAATAATTTAGGAAAGAGAAACCTTTCCTGTTCTTTTTCATTCATTCAGTAAATATTCAAGCATCTAATATGTGGCAGGTACTATTCCAGACATTGAGGATGTAGCAGTAAATAAAACGACAAAATGCCTTCTTTTATAGAGCTTAATTCTAGAAGGAAGAACTAGATAAAAAGGAGTGAAATATGTAGTATCAAAGGTTGGCTCCCTGAAAACACCATGCAAAAAACATGTTGATGAGCAAAGCTGAGCTTGTTACTTAGAGTGGTAAGGGAGATGCTATCTTGATCAGATGCCATATCGCTTTGGGTGAGGAGAGAGTTCTTCAATGTGAGGGGAGCTTGATTAGAATTAAGTAAGGATGATAATATAATAGCTTAGGACTGGAGGACATGGCAAGGTGAAGATTGGGGTGGCAGTTTCAAAGAATCTTGGAGTTGTTTTCAGACAAAATCTTCCAATTGATATCCGTTTCAATGAGTTTTTTGGATGTTCCTGAGATAATACAGGAACTCTTATGGTCCAGGGCAAAAGTTTTCTGAAATAGTAAAGTCATATTAATGAAGACAGGGCTACTAAAGTCCTATTAGTGCAGATAGCCAACGGTAAAACCATGTTAATGTAAGCTCAGGTAAGCTAATGTTTGTTCATGTTAGTCAGTGATGTAAGCTGTGGAGTGTGGATGGCTCATGTTCTCAGTAGATGTTAGAAAGTAATAACTGCTAAGGAGTAAAGCAGGGAAGGAGATGGGAAGTGCCTGCATGTGGTGATGGATGTTTGTGATTTTCTTTATTTGTTTTTGCTGCATTTATTTTATTTTAAATTGGCAGGGCATAATTATACACATTCTATAGTTATGGGGTACCATGTGATGTTTTGATATATGTTTGCAATTTTCCTTGGCTTGGGGAAGGAAGGCCTCATTGAGGTGCAGAATTGAGAGCTGAAGGAGTGATTAAACCAAGCAGGTGTGTACATGCGTCTCCAGGCAGAGGGAACAGCCAGGACCAGAGGCAGAAATATGTGTGGGAACTCCAGGAACTGCCTGGAGGCCAGTGCAGCTTTGTCGGGTGGAGCCAAGGGACTGGAGTAGGAGATGGGACCACGGAGATAAGGCAGGACCTTGGCTTTGGTTTAGTGAGGTGGGAGCCATCCATCACTGTGTTTAGCGTCCAGTTCTGTGAGTCAGTGTCTTGCTGAACAACCTGAGAAGATTTCTTTGTCGTATTTTAAATTGGGAAGTTCTATTGAGGGCCGTGATATAAACAATACAAAGTAGCTAAAAGTACATTCTATATGCTATAACCTCTGATCAAAGTTTTAAAAGGTCATTTGTGGTTTTTATTTGACTATTTTTTACTAGTATTATCATCTAAAGGACATTGCCCTGGGGACCCTTGGTTATGGAGAAAATGAAGACAATAGAATCGGCTTAAAAGTCTGTAAGCAGTGTTACAAGAAAGGGAGCATGTTTCCTTCTAATGAGACACTGAATATTGACAACGACATAGAGCTCGGTAATGCAGTGATAATTTCATGATGTGCCTTTATCATCTTCTGGTAAGAGCAAAAATGCCCTCCTGTGCTAGCAACCCACATGGAACAACTTTGCTTTGATGAGAGCTAACGTGTTAGGGGCTGGCACTCTAACATTGGCCTGCAGAGGGCTTTGGCTCGGGAAACTGTGGGGTTGTGGCGATGGGACAGGGCCAGCGTTTGTGGATCTCTTTGGAGCAACTCAAGATTCTTGGTTTGGGGTAAATGCACAGGTCCTGTTTTTTAGTTTTTTTTCCCCTATAAGGGAGTGATTAGGCTTTTTGAAAAAGTGGTCTGTATGTGTTAAATGAAATAATATACATAAAGATGCTTTGTACACTTGTTTTTATTATTTGTAAAATACAGAAATGCTCTTCAAAGGTGAATCGTGATTAATAACTGATTTCTCTCTCTTAGGAGATCACTTGGCAACAAGTTAATGGCTAATCAAGTAGAATTGTTTTGTGCTATTTTGCTAATAATTTACAGCATACCGCATGTAAATGTGAGGTGTTTGACTTAAGACTTTTTAAAAAATATTGTTTTATTATTTTATTGTTTTGTTTATTCACTCAACAAACCTCTGGTGTGTAGTCATCATGTCCAGAGGACTCAGTTTTATTGCTGAGGTTGCAAATTAATCAGTTGTGGCTCCTCAAGTACCAAAAGTTCAGGAGTAGGGGTTCTAACAGCAGTTTAAATTTGAAATGGTCTTATTAAAATTAATGCTTCACATTGATGAGTTCATTTGATTGTACTTCCTATAATCTGATCTTAAGGTGCCTTAATGACACGACAGGAGAGTACCCTATAAGACAGAGGTTTTAATTGTTTCTCTAGGCTACCCACTCAGAATCTCTTGGTGAGTAAATGTGTCATGTGCTCTTCACTCTGAAAGAAGCAACCCATGAGCAGGCACCATCAAGGACACATGTGGTATCTGGCTCCCATGGTGCTTTCAGAGAATATCCGGAGAAAAGTTGCCTGGTTCTGTAGCCAGCAACGTTGAAATGTCACCTGTCACTTGTCTTATCTCCCTGGAAGCTGCTGCTTACCTGAGATCTATTTGGTAGTCCACCTACAGGGGCTAATCCTATTTTGATCTTTTACCTGGGTGGTCAGCTATGTTCCTCCCTGTAGGTGATTCCAGTCAGTAACTGTGACAGGAGGACTTGTTCTGTTACCCTCTGTTTCAAGTAAGCCATCTGTCCCTTGCCCTTTTAAAAATAGATGACTCAAATTGGATGTACCACACAGAAGTTTTGCAGTGATTCATATATTGTTTTTCTCAATTCATTTTTCTCAGAAAATTTATTAAAGAAATGTGGCCAAAGTCAATCTCAGTAGCTAGATAGCACTGATAATGCTGGAAAGCGGGATCATTTCCTGACCATTGGACAGTCTTTGCCTTTTTCATTTATCTCAGAATATGGAATATGTTTAAATGGACAGAGGTTGGTTATTATTTGACTTTATTGTTATTATTATTTTTGAGATGGAGTCTCACTCTGTCACCAAGTTGGAGTGCAGTGGCATGATCCTGGCTCACTGCAACCTCTGCCACCCAGGCTAAAGCGATTCTCCTGCCTCAGCTTCCCAAGTAGCTGGGACTACAGGCATGCACAACCACACCCAACTAATTTTTATATATATATTTTAAAATTAGAGACAGGGTTTCACTATATTGGCCAGGATGGTCTCAATCTGTTGACCTTGTGATCCACCCCCTTTGGCCTTCCAAAGTGCTGGAATTACAGGCCTAAACCACGACAACCAGCCTAATTTGACTTTAAGAGAGATTGCTTAAATATGTTAATTGTATGCTTTGATTTATTAAATGTAACTTGTCAAAGAGAATCTTCAGACATATCTAAAAGGTATAATGAAGATTCTTCGAATATATGATACTGGATTTTAGGCTCTCTTTCCTTGGATACACTGAAGGAAGCCTGCAGATATAATAGTTTGACATCATTCATTTGGCACTCTAGTTGATGTAGGTGAATTAGCAGAAGCTGTTCCAGGTTAACTACTCATGAATTTTGCACTATCTTTACTATTAAGGGAATCATCCCTCAGTGTTTTAAATGTAGATATCTGCCTATATGCCCAGCTTTCCTGGTGGGCTTATATTTAACTGCACAACTGATTGTGTAGATCAAATTAGTGTTTCCCTTAACTTATGCTAATGGGTATATCCCTCCTGGTTCTGCCTCTAGAACTACAGCTTTCCAGGTCAGCCTCATTGGGAGGACTGTTATGAATCTCGTTAAAATATTAAAAAATGTTTGTTTATTTGTTTTACAACATTTGGGTAACTAACATTTTAATATAGTGTTTCATTTTCTGTAATACAATTTTTGAATGTCTTATATTCTTCTTTTCCACATGTTCTTAGCATGAGATATTATGACCATTTCATCATTTTTCCTGCTGTTTCAAGAACAGCAGTAATTACCCCCCCCGAAAAGGATTATTTCTTTGACTGGAATATTCTATGAGATTCATATTCATTTGAATTATGAGGCTGTTACTGTAGATACCAGTTTATTCTGCTTCAAGTGTGATGTTTTACTTAGGGCTTTTGCTATCTTGAAAAAAACCCTCAAAACTCAGTTTTGTTGCCATCAGGTGCTTGATGGCCTCAGTAGCAATGACTGTAAGTGAAAGGTCAGCCAGACTTCAGAGAGTTCTGAATGAGTATTTAAGCAAAGTATAACCCTATAATTACAAAATAGTATAAAATTTGAACAACCAAACAGACTTTTATAAAGCAAATTTTACAAATAGTATAAAATTAACTAACAAAATTCTGTCCAATTTCTGTGAATCTAAGGTGCCAGTTTTTTTAAAGACTCATCTGCTTTAGAGATGTTTTAAGTGAGAAATGTTACATCTCAGAATCAATGAAATACAGGAGAAAAAGGCCTAGGACAGTGCGTGGCATAGAGCTCTTGAGCATGTTTCTTCTTTCAGAATGTAGTTGTTTACTCAGATCAGTTTTACTTTTTTTTTTTTACCTTCATCTTAGAATAAGAATGTTAGAGGTAGGAGGACTTTAAATATCATCAGTTTGGCCTTTACAAGTGAGGAAACTGATGCTTAGTCAAGGTAAGCAACTAGGTCATGTAATGATTTGTTGACAATAGCTCTTTGCTACTGAAAGACCAGCCATATGGGCATCAGCTGGGAGCTTATGAGAAATGCAGAATTTCAGGGCCCACCCTAGAGCCACTGAATCCGAAAGTGCTTCTTAGCAGCAGGTTCCCCAAGTGGTTCACACACATTAAATGTTTGAAGCACTGGTTCAGTGCTCTCCAACTAAAGATCTTTGACTTCACATAGATGTCTTTTTTTTACTGACTTCATCCCATTCTCCACTGTTCATCACCACCTCCTGCCTTCAGTGCCTTCTGGATCCAGCTAAGCAACCTTTGTACATTAATACCACATTACGAAAGCTGGCAGAATGCTTGCCTCTCCTCCCTTCTTACCTGGATCCACTCAATCACCATTAGTCCCCAGCCTCTTCCATCCCTGTGCACAGCATTCCAGTAGCTGATGCTTACTGGAGAAATGTGCCAGATCAGAACACTCTCATCTTCTTACCACCATGTCTTCAAAGCTCCTTACATAACTTCCTTCCACTTCTTTTTACCCTTGTGTTACAAAGGAGCACAGAGGTGAGGCCACAGTTAAAACCCTCACCAGAGCAGTGGGACCACTCCTTTCAGTTTTGGAGGAGTCCTGCCTTTTCTCTAGAAACATATACCCAAATTTGCATCCCTAATCCAAACTTCCCTGAACTCCACGCTCCTCATGTATCCAACTGACTACCTGACAACTCCACTGTGTTGCCAAATAGGAATTTCAAAACCACTGTGTCTAAAACAGAACGTTTTAAACCTCCGCCATCTCCCTACCTACCCCATGGCCCAACCTGTTTCTTAGACTTTCCAATTTTGAAAAATGATATCAACATTTTCATATCGTACTGTAATATTCCCAGTTATTGAAGCTGTGCACTTGAAGTTGCCAGTTTCTCCATTTTCACTGCCACCACTGTCATCCAAGCCACTACCTGCTTAGGTGATATCCCTGCTTCTGGTCTTGCCTCTACCAGCCCCTGCCCTGCCCTGCAGAAACTGCAGTGGTAAATCAGGTCATATCTCTTCCTGGCTTAAAAATCATTAGTGGCTTCCCATCCCATTTAGAATAAAATCCACAAGTCCTTACAGAAACTAGCCACTTGCCTGCCTCTCCAGCTTCATTTCTCTGTTGTAGCATCGTTTCTGTTTGTTGAGCAAGCCAGGCTCTTTCTTGCTTGGAGGGCTTAGTGCTTGATTTTTTTCCTATTTGGATCTATGCATAGCTAGTTCTTTTTCCTTTTAGGAAAAAGGTTTCAGTTCAAACATCTTTTGCACCTTGAGAGTCACTCCCTAACTGTCTTTCCTAAGGTGGACTGTCCCTCTGTGTTAGTCTACTCTCACATTGCTAATAAAGACATACCCAAAAATGGGTAATTTATAAAAGAAAGAAGTTGGCTGGGCGCGGTGGCTCACGCCTGTAATCCCAGCACTTTGGGAGGCCAAGATGGGTGGATCACAAGATCAAGAGATTGAGACCATCCTGTTCAACATGGTGAAATCCTGTCTCTACTAAAAATACAAAAAATTAGCTTGGCATGGTGGCACGTGCCTGTAATCCCCGCTACTCAGGAGGCTGAGGCAGGAGAATTGCCTGAACCCAGGAGGCGGAGGTTGCGGTGAGCCGAGATCGCGCCATTGCACTCCAGCCTGGGTAACAAGAACAAAACTCTGTCTCAAAAAAAAAAAAAAAAAGAAGTTTAATTGACTCACAGTTCTGCATGGCTGGGAAGGTCTCAGGAAACTTACAATCATGGTGGAAGGAGAAGCAAACACATCCTTCTTCTGGTGGCAGGAAGGAGAAGTGCCAAACAAAGTGGGAAGAGCCCCTTATAAAACCTTCAGATCTCATGAGAACTCACCTATTATCACAAGGACAGCAGCATGGGGATAACTAGCCCCATAATTCAATTACCTCTTACTGGGTTCCTCCCATGACATGTTTACACGTGGGGATTATGGGAACTACAAGGTGAGGTTTGGGTGGGGACACAGCCAAACCATATAACCCTCCTTGTTATTCTTCTTTATTTTATCTTCACAGTACTTCTCACACTGTGAAATTATCTTGTATATATTTTTACTTACTGTTATCTCCCCCACTAGAATGTGAGCTCCGTGAAGATGGTGACCATGTCTGACTTGTTCATTGCTTTACATTCAGTGCCTAGCACAGTTGCCTGGCTTTCAGCAAATATTTACTGAATAAATGAATGAGTTGGGTACAGAGCCTGTGTCTTTGATATTCTTCTGAAATATGTGCTCAGAGGTCAGCCTCCTCCGTGCACTGGCAGAACTCAGGCTCTAGAACCAAGCACAAGTAGATTTAACTTTTGGATAGCTAATAGCTAGCTGTGTGACTGAGAAAGTTTCTTGGCCTCTCTGGGCCTTGGTTTGTGCATTTGTGAAATGGAAGTAATAGTGCCTATCTCATATGGTTTCTTCGAAGATTAAATGGGATGATGCATTAATTGAGAGAACATATAAAGTCCAGCACAGTGTCTGGTTTGGAGTTCAGTGCCCAATATGTTTTTGCCATTTTTATCATTAGTCTTTTCCATAAAAAAGTTTCTTTTGACCAGCTGCCCTCACTGTACTAATTAAGGTCTAGTTAGGAAGGCCAACATTGAGTTGTTCCCTGACACTAATACTCGTCTACCAAACACAGGGAGACACACTCTCCAAACTATCTTTTAGAAATATGTCTATTGAGTTGTGTGTTCAGCTCTGGGCCCTGTTTTTGGCTCAGGACATCTAATTTTCATTAAATATAAGTGTATCCCATGTATCAGGACATATTTTGAGTGCCAGGTAGATGCCAGGCCATGGATGTTTAACAAGGTGTGACAATATTGTGCTCTTAATCTCAGAGACCTCATATTCTAGTTGGAAGGATATAAACAAATGAAGAGTTGCAGTTGTAGAATAACACTTTTAAATAATCAACCAATGAGTTTGCTGACATTCATGAACACATACTAGGTTCCAGGCACTGCACAAAGCCCCACCTTTTCCATTTCAAAGTCAGCACGGAAGGGGCTGCAACAGCCTGGGTGAGGGCCACCTGTGCTGGTTTCGTACCAGTTGTGTCACTAGGTCTCTGTGGTCTTGGAAGGTGCTTGTCTTTAGAGCTCCTTGTTTCATGCCCTGTAAAACAAGGGTGTTAGCTCACACAATAATGAGACTAATTTTTCTGTGAGGTTCTTGGAATCATTCTTCTATCATTTACAGCTCATAATTTGTTTTTTTCTTGAATACAACCTGTGTTCCTTTTCTTTCTCTTTATTTTTTACTCTGAAAAAGTGCCAGACTACCAGAAAAGTTACAAAATAGCACAAAGATTTCTTATATATGCTTCATCCAGATTTCCTCAATACTAACATTTTATCACATTTGTTTGATCATTCTTTCTATGCATAAATATTTCTCCTGGAGGTGCAAACATGCTGTTCCTTTGCCTCTAAATACTTCAGTGTGCATTTCGCCAAAACAAGAATATTTCCCCAAACAAGAATATTCCCCTACGCAACCACTATACAGTGCTCAAAACAATGAGTTAACATTGAGACAATGCTATAATCTACAAACCCTATTCACATTTCAAAAATTTTGCTAATGATCTTCATAGTAAAATAAAATAAAAACTGCGCCCAACTCCAGGGTCCTACTCAGGACAACATCTGGCATTTAGTTGTCATGTCTTTCCAGTCTAAAATTTCTTGGTTTTTATTTGTTTAACTTTTATCCTCTTGATACATTTAAAGAGTAGAATGTCTCTCACATTGGGTTTTCTGTTTCTTTGTGACTAGATTGAGGTTATACTTTTTTTTTTAGCAGGAATACCACCCAAGTGATGTCATGTGATTCTCAGTTCATTGTATCAGGAGGTACATGTCTGTTTATCTCATTACTGTGATATAACCTTGTTCACTTGGTTAGTGTGGTGTCTACCAGGTTCTCCACTGTGGGGTTACTATCATTCTTCCTGAATAATTGGTAAGTTTTTTCTGGGGAGATACTTTGAAACTCCCTAAGTAACCTGCTTCTTGTCACACTTTTGCCCACTAGTTTTAGCACCTAATTCTTGCCTGAAACAACCATTTCTTGTTCTTTCATTGCCTAGATTGTGTTCACTTAGACCTTCAGGCTCTCTCCAAGGACCCTCCGGACTGGAAGAACTCATCATTTTTCATACTGGAATTTTATCGGTAAATACATTTTAAAGTGTTATTCCCAGAGGTGAGGATGGGAAAAGGAGAATAGTATAGTAAGATTATGACAATTTATACCTTTCAATGTATTTTATTCAGGCTCTTACAGGTTGAAATCTCCTTTCATCTTAAAGGCATTGACCTACAAACAATTCATTCCCGTGAGTTACCAGACTGTTATGTCTTCCAGAATACGGCAAGTATCTTAGTTTTACTGGCCACTTCCTTTTATTTTTCCCTACACATTTTGCTGATGCAGAGTATAAAACATACCAGCCTACAGTGTGTTAAATGTAGTCGTGTTTGAAACAGATATAGTGATACAACATGGTACTTTTCTTTTTTCTGAGACATAGACTCACTCTATCACTTAGGCAGGAGTGCAGTGGCACAATTTCAGCTCACTGCCATCTCTGCTTCGCAGATTCAAATGATTCTCATGCCTCAGTCTCCCAAGTAGGTAGTATTACAGGCATGTGCCACCATGTCTGGCTAATTTTTTTTGTATGTTTATTAATAGTAAAGACAAGATGGGGTTTTGCCATGTTGGCCAGGTCAGTCTCAAACTCTTGGCCTCAAGTGATCTGCCCTCCTTGGCTTCCCAAAATACTGGAATAACAGGCATGAGCTATCATGTCCAGCCTCATTATGGTAGTGTTGATCCAGAGACCATTACTTCTGAAGATGAAGCAAGCCCTTTTCAACTTTTCAAAACTAAATTTCTACATTGAAAAGAAGAGTTTAAAAAATTGGCTTTGACTCTCTACTCTCCTAATACATTCTTTAAAATGTGTAGGAAGGTGTTTTAAATGTCTATAGTGTTCTTCCAAGCTTTAGAGGAAGGTCTTTGCAAATGTTGTAGCAAATGTTTTCAAACCTTGAGGCATAAACTGCTCCACTGACATGAAGACCAGTTTGCAAAGGAGCAGTTGTTTCACTTTTTATTTTGGGAGGGGGCATGTATAGTAGAAGAGACAGTTCACTCTGTCGTCAGGCTGGAGTGCAGTGGCATGATCTCAACTCCCTGCAACCTCAACCTCCTGGGTTCAAGCAATGCTTCTGCCTCAGCCTCTCGAGTACCTGGGACTATAGGTGCATGCTACCACGCCTAGCTAATTTTTGTATTTTTAGTAGAGATGGGGTTTCATCATGTTTGCCAGGATGGTTTTGATCTCTTGACCTTGTGATCCACCCACCTTGGCCTCCCAGAGTGCTGGGATTACAGGTGTGAGCCACCGGCCAGCCAACAGTTCACTTTTATGGGGAGTGAACTCATTACTGTTCTCATTTTCATAGACTTTCTTTCTCTTCTTTCCTGTTCATTAAGGGCTAAACTGGATGCCTAGCTGAAAGTTGTATATACTGTCATTTAGCAATTCAGAAGAGTGCTTCATTCAACTATCAATAAATACTTAATGAGTCTTAACTATGCACCAGGCATTTTGCTATGCCCTAGAGGTACCCTCAGGAGAGCTTACAGCCTAGTGGCAGAAGAAGAAAAACAAGTAAATGAAATAACAGTAACTACAGATTGTGATATATGTTAAGGAAGAATGTCTCTAGCTGCAAGCTCTCCGGAGTGGGTTGGCCAGAGGCGAACTGAGAGCCTCTGCAGGCATGAGAAGAAAGGCAGGAGAGAAGCATGGAGCTTGGTCTGCAAGGATGAAGTCATTGACGACTTTGTCATGATATGGTCAGAAGTGTGGGTTTTAAAATACTGGCTTTTCATTTTTATTTTGTTATTTGGACTTCTGTCTGCTTTGAGAAAAGCATTTTAGGGGCTTTCCTTGAGAAAACAGAGACCTTGAGTGCCATTGCTAGTGGAGGTTTAGTCATAACTTACAGATATAGAAATGAGGATGGTATGGTTTAACTCTCAAATTTCTGGTTTGATTGTGTGATCTTCTTGGGCAAACTTGGCTTGTGTTCAGAGACCAGCAAGTGCATGTAGATTTGATCACCTATATATCCGGCTTTCCAACTCTGCCAGTGAACTTTTGGGTTTTCTTAATGTGTTCATGCTAATAAATATTTGGCATATATCACTGGTAAACTGTAAATATATTTTATTTGCAGTTGATTTAAATGATTGATTTAAATTTCATAAGGTAGAAGATTGAGTGCATATGGACATCTTAAGTTTAGCCTGCAGGCTTGGAGCAATCTCTGTTCTTTCTGAAAGCATTATATGTAGCTCTGGAAACAGATAGAAAAATAAATTCTAGTCTAACAAAAACTAGAATTTCATAACCAAATAACTAAATTGAAGGAAATGCTTTTAAATTCAATTCAGAATAATAAATGAGATCATTGTGTTCTTTCAAAGATTGGTGAATTTGGGTTTTTATTCCTGGGACTGGTTGTTTTGTTCTAGGATTTCTCTGAACTAGATATATGAAATCCTGTATTTAGTAAAACTTCACATATTAGCCCTTTCAATCACATTTGTTAATTAATAACAGAAAGTTGTGAGGATCCTGTGATGTGAACATTTTCAGTGGTATAATTCTCTTTGTTGCCTTATTTTATGTCTTTATGTTCCTTAGCCTCTAATTGTAGTTGTGTTTGTTTTTTACAATTGTGACTTAAGACCTTCATACTAGAGGACCGAGAGATTTATATGGCACCATTACAATACTGGGGTATTCTGAATTTGATTATAAATTGAGTTTATAATACTCTACTGTTGAGTTTTATGTTTTCACATGTTTTTATGATTCTACTTATTGTTCTTTTGTTTCCAGTTTTAGTGCTCCCTCAAGCATTTCTCAAAAGGCTAGTCAACTGGTGAAAATTTCCTCAGCTTTTGCTTGTTTGGGAAAGTCTTTATTTCTTCTTCATTTCAGAAGGATAGCGTTTCTGGATATAGTATTCTTGACTGAGAGTTTTTGTCTTTTTTTTTTTTCCTTTAAATCCTTTGAATATATCATCTCATTCTCTGCTGGCCTGCCAGGTTTCTGCTGAGAAATGTGCTGATAGTCTAATGGCGATTCCATTATTTATGACTTGATGTTTTTCTCTTGCACCTTTTAGAATTGTCTCTGTCTTTGATTTTTAACAGTTTGATTATAATGGGACTCAGAAAGAATCTTTTTGGGGTGAATCTAACTGGGGATCTTTGAGCTCCTGGATCAGGATGTTTATATCTCTCCCAAGACTTGAGAAGTTTTCAGCTGGGTTATTTCAAAAGACCTGTCTTCAAGCTCAGATTTTTTTTCCCCTGAGACAGAGTCTCAATCTATTGCCCAGGCTAGCATGCAGTAGTGTGATCTCAGCTCACTGCAACCTCTGCCTCCTGGATTCAAGTGATTATCATGCCTCAGCCTCCCCAGTAGCTGGGATTACAGGACCCTGCCACTGTACCCAGCTAATTTTATATCTTCTATTAGAGATGGGGGTTTCACCATGTTAGCCAGGCTGGTCTCGAACTCCTGACCTCAAATGATCCGCCCACCTTGGCCTTCCAAAGTGCTGGGATTACAGGTATGGCCACTGCACCCAGTCAAAAATGCTTTTTTCTTTGTTTGATGTAGTCTATTGTTGAAACTCTCAGTTATAATTTTTTATTTCACTCATTGAGTTCTTCAGCTCCAAGGTTTTTGTTTGGTTCTTTTTTATGCTATGTATCTCTGCTGAATTTCTTGATCAAATCATAAATTATTTTTCTGGTTTTATTGAATTGTTTTTCTGTATTCTATTATATCTCACTGAGCTTTCTTAAGATTATTATTTTGAATTTCTTTTCAGGCATTTAATGAATATCCTTTTTTTTTAGGGCCTGCTATTTGAGAATTATTGTATTCCTTTGGGTGTTGTGTTTTCTTGCCTTTTTGTGTTTCTTGTATCCCTACATTGTTATCTATGCATCTAGTGAAATAGTTGTTCTTTCCAATTTTATGAAATAGTTCTCATAGGAAAAGACTTTTTCCTGCAGATGGGCCCTAGGGTGCTGGTTGGGTATAGTGCATTGGCTTTGGTTCTGGGCAGACTCAGCAGTGTGGTGTCCATGCAGTTTGTTCAGTTGTAATCCTTGTCAGTGATGTCTGTGATTGGCTCAGTGGCCTAGGCTGAGAGAGTTTTTAACAGAAATGGCATAGTTTTGCTGAAGACAGGGATGCCAGACTGTCAGGCTGTACATGTGCATACATGATAAGCAGCAGGTTGTGTGGCAGACTCTTCAACTGGGTGGGGGCAATTGCTGGCTGTCAGGCCAGGTGTGCATGGTTGCAGTGGGCCAATAGGCTGTGACTCTGGCTCTTTAGAGATGTGAGGTTGCTGCTGAACTGGCTGTCAGGCCTGTGGGGGTATGGAGAGGCAGCCAACTCTGTGGCACAAGTGTGCACAAACACAGCACACCAGTCAGCTATTTGTCAACTTCCTGCTGTGTAGTTCTGCCTGTTCCCAAGGTCAGGAGCAGGAAGGGGTTCTGGATGGATTCAGATGTCAGGGTCTCAGATGTTCCATTAGGTCTAGGCTCTGGGCAGCCAGGATCATGGTGCTGCAGGCACCCGTGTGAACATGGTAGAATAATGGCAGGACTTCAGGGATGGAGAGAGACAATAAGTACTGGCCCCAGGGCAGAACAGGGCAGATCTGTTTAGTGATATGGTTTCAAAATGGTGTCATGCCATAGCAGCTTAGGTCACAGAGGTGAGGAGTGCACAATGTGGGCTTCCACTCTGGGGCAGCATGGCTGCATGAACTCCCAGCACCTCTCCAAATAGGATTCACAGCCTGTGAGGACTGGAGGGCTCCCCTGTAGCAAGGACTGCTGGCATTCTGTGGCAGTAATGAGGACCAGCAGGAGTCTCTAGCCTAACATTTTCCTATCCGAAGAGATCCCACCTGGCTCTAAGCTGATCCTGGCTGGGGAGACTGTGGCAGAAGCAGGGTGCCTTGCTTCCCTTTCTATGTTGCTGCCCTAGGCTTCCATGCTCCACGGGATTTTGCTGCTATCCTGGTGCTCTCCAGTGTACTTCAGTGATTTCAGTCAAAACATAGTTGTTTATTATTTTGGTCCCTTTGTGTGTGTGTGTGGCAGGGGGTGCAGGAAATGAGTGTCAGGTGACTCTTGTCAACCGTTTTGCTGGCCTGTGTAATTCTCTTTGGATCAGCACACTGGATGCTGTTGATTTTTTTTTTCAAAGCAGAGTTGATCTAACATGTTACATTTTCTTCTGTGTTGTAACCTCTCTATACATTTGTGTCTCCAGATTATCTTTGACAATAAAGCTCACAGTGGCAAAATCAAAATCTATTTTGACAGTGATGCCAGAATTGAAGAATGTAAAGACTTGAACGTATTTGGATCTAGTAAGTATGCTATTTACTTGCCCATGGGGATTATAGATGACTTTTAACACTTTATTTGGGGGGCTAGGGTATTTAGTTTGTTTGCGTGGTAATAGGAAGAAAACTGCATCTTGAGCATTAGATTCTGTAAAGAATATCTTAAAGCTTTGTATTTTTGTTTAATTCAGCAAATGTTTATTCTATACCTCTTAGAAGAGGTAGCATGACTCAGTGGTTAGGAACTTAGCTCTGAAGCCAGAATACCTGGGTTTCGGTTCCAGTTCTGTTTTCTCTGCCTGTTTTCTTGGACAAATTACTTAACCTGTCTGTCTCAGTATCTTTCTGTGTAAAATGAGAGTAATAATAGTGCAGTTTGAACATACCAAATCAGAAATACCTGAAATCAAAATGCTCTAAAATTTGAAACATTTGAGCACTGACATGACTGATGCTCAAAGGAAATGCTTATTGTAGCATTTTGGATTTTGAATTTTTGGATTTGGGATGCTCAGCCAGTACGTATAATGCACATATTCTAAAATAAAAAAAAATCTGAAATACTTGTGGTCCCAGACCATTGTGGATAGGGTATACTTTGCCTAAACTTACCTCCAAGGATATTATTGAATATTAAATGAATTAATGTATAAAGCCAAGCACTGAAGACAAGAGTTGGCATATATTAATTGCTAAGCATTATGGGAAAAGGAAGAAAATGCCTTCGTGAGGGAGACAGACATGCTTATGAAATCTGTGTTGTGTTATGGAGATAAATAAGTGGTATATATACAAAAAGTATGAGGAGAAAGAAAGCAAAAGTTTGAGTGGAGCAGAGTGAGAAATAAAATCTAGAAATGATTCTTGGAGAAGGTATGCTTTGATCTGAGCCTTGGACAGTGAGGAAGGATCAGGGCCACCAGAGCCCAGAGAGCAGCCACTGCAATGGTGGCTCATTTACTCAGTCATTACGCGGAATACATCTCTTAATCTACAGGTTTAAAATGAGCTACCACTGAGCGTGGTGGCTTATGCCTATAACCCCGGAACTCTGGGAAGGCTGGGGAAGGTGGATCACTTGAGGTCAGGAGTTCAAGATCAGCCTGGTCAACATGATAAAACCCAATCTCTACTAAAAATACAAAACTTAGCCAGGCACGGTGGCACACACCTGTAATCCCAGCTACTTGGGATGCTGAGGCAGAACTGCTTGAACCTGGTAGGTGGAGACTGCAGTGAACCAAGATCACACCACTACCCTTAAGCCTGGGGGACAGAGTGAGACTTTCTCTCAAAAATAAGTAAAATAGGCCAGTCACAGTGGCTCACTCCTGTAATCCCAGCACTTTGGGAGGCCGAGGCGGGTGGATCACATGAGATCACGAGTTTGAGACCAGCCTGGCCAACATGGTGAAACCCCATCTCTACTAAAAAATACAAAAAATTAGCAGGGCATGGTAGCAGGTGCCTGTAATCTCAGCTACTTGGGAGGCTGAGGCAGGAAAATCATTTGAACCCTGGAGGCTAAGGTTGCAGTGAGCCAAAATCATGCATCGTACTCCAGCCTGGGCAACAAAAGTGAAATTCCATCTCAAAATAAATAAATAAAAAAATAAGTAAAATAAATAAGATACAATGGGCTACCTATGGAAGCTGTTCTGTTTGCTCAGTAAACGATTGGGCTGATGTTAATGATGGATGCTCGGTATTTTTTACTTTGCAAATTTTGTTTAAATGACTTTCCTTTCCTTTTGACCAGATTATCAGAATGAAATTAAATGTAAAATAACTGTGGCTCCTGTTTTAGATTTGTCGTAAACTGTATTTGATTTGTGGTCTGCTGCTTTTCAGTTGTATAATATGTCCTGATGATTTTGAAGTTTTGATTTCAATAATTTCAACGACTGACTTAAGCCTCCGTTACAGTTTTGGTTTCTGTTAAAAAGTGGATACCACTTCCCAGCATACACCACTTTCTTGCAGACACACAAAGATCAGGGGCATATTTTCCAAGTTCAAGTATAGGCTACAATTTTCTGTTAAAAGAAACTAACCGGCCGGGCGCGGTGGCTCAAGCCTGTAATCCCAGCACTTTGGGAGGCCGAGGCGGGTGGATCACAAGGTCAAGAGATCGAGACCATCCTGGTCAACATGGTGAAACCCCGTCTCTACTAAAAATACAAAAAGTTAGCTGGGCATGGTGGTGCGTGCCAGTAATCCCAGCTACCTAGGAGGCTGAGGCAGAAGAATTGCCTGAACCCAGCAGGCGGAGGTTGTGGTGAGCCAAGATAGCGCCATTGCACTCCAGCCTGGGTAACAAGAGCGAAACTCCGTCTCAAAACAAAACAAAACAAAACAAACAAACAAACAACCCAAAAACAAGAAACTAACCTTTGTCAAATATGTGATTTGGAATATCATTGTAAAGGTCAACATGATGGGAATTTTCAAGCTAGTCAGTCAGTCAAATGCATTTCCAGAACAGTGGTGTTTCCTTCCGCCTGCTTGTGCTTAGTAGAGAGTATCTCTAGCCCCCTCTTGTGGCCAATAAGGAGAAACACAAGCCTCCTAGACCACTGAGATTTACTTGTTCTCCCAGAGGTGTGTCTTAAGAAACCAGGTCTATTGGGGGGAAGAGGGGAGGGACAGCGGGGTGGGTGGGTGGGGGCTGGGGAGGGATAGCCTGGGGAGAGATGCCAAATGCGGGTGAAGGGGAGGAAGGCAGCAAAACAAACTGCCATGTGTGTACCTATGCAAATGTCTTGCATGTTCTGCGCATGTACCCCAAAACCTAAAATGCAATCATTAAAAAAAAAAAAAAGAAACCAGGTTCTATCACTAGGAGAATGTGAATCTAAAATAAAAATGATGTGATGTGAAAGCCTTAAAAAACTGATGTTTAGAAAGCATTTTAGGAAATGGACTTTTTCCCCTATGTGAAGCTGTCTGGTGGATTGAGATTGCCTTGTCTTCGGGGGACGTGGACAAGGGCAAGGGCAAGTGGGACCCTTACACTATTTCTAAAAGTTCAGAGACTCATTCACACTCACATGCTTACCCCCAGGTTCCTTTCTCGCAGTTTTGTCTTTACCTGTATTGAAGCAAAGTATGCTGGTGAACGTCCATTTTCTTTCTTGCTTTCATTCTTTCTTTTTCTTTCTCTTTCTTTCTCTATTTCTCTCTCTCTTTCTTCCTCTCTTTCCCTCTCTCCCTTTTTCCCTCCCTCCCTTCCTCCCTTCCTTCCTTCCTGACGGAGTCTTGCTCTGTCGCCCAGGCTAGAGTGCAATGTCACAATCTCGGCTCACTGTAACCTCAGCCTCCTGGGTTCAAGTGATTCTCCTGCCTCAGCCTCCCGAGTAGCTGGATTACAGGCACCCGTCACTATGCCTGGCTAATTTTTTTTTTTTTTTTAGTATAGAGGGGCTTTTACTATGTTGGCCAGGCTGGTCTTAAACTCCTGACCTCATAATCTGCCCACCTTGGCCTCCCGAAGTGCTGGGATTACAGGTGTGAGCCACCGCACCTGGCTTGAATGTCCATTTTTCACATACAAACCTCATGCTTCCTTTTGTGACTCCCAAGTCCCCTCTCCAAAGGTACCATGTCTTTATTTGACTTGGTTTCATAAATATAGCAGTTTGGAGATAAGGACCTGGGGAGGAATTAGCAGGATTCCTCTTTGGCGGGATTCCTCATTGATGGGTAATATAGATGGTATTACAAGGAAAGGGTTTTAGTAAGTTTGGGAAGCCCTAGACTAGAGTCCACAGGCTAGTGGTGGTGGTATGTAGGATTTTTAAGGGCCTTAGAGGGGCTTAGTGGTCTTTGGGACTCCCCTAAAAATGTTGGCAGGGGCATCTTTCTGGACTAGTGTATAATAAACCCAAGTTTGGAAATGTTCCTGTGGGGTAACTTGGTTTCAACAGAGCAAGAAAGCAATTGAGATGTTCATGAAATACATATTTTTTAGCATACCAAACTAGTCTTCTCAGGAATTCAAAGAAAAGCAGACTCCTATACTGGTTTCTGTTAGGAGGGCTGGTTTCTGTTTCTAAGCCGGTTTGTTTTCCCATCTGTAAACAAGGTCCAATACAAGCTGTCTTAGAGATTTGTGTTCTAGTTATATGTCAGAAAGGAAGCTACTAGATGCTGTCCTTGCGTTTCATAAGATTTTCAGTTTTTATGTTTTCAAGAGCTGCCTCTGTATCCTCTGCCCCATTCCATGGATCCAAGAAAAAAGAAAAAATCTTGCATTATGATAGAGCTAAGTTGTTTTCTTAGCCACCCATTAGATGATACGTCAAGATAACTCTCTTGAGTATAAAATGGCTAAAGGTAAATATAAATAACCGGGCACTGTTCTAACACACGCTTCACATGGACCGTTCCACCTGGTTCTCCCGACAGCCCCAGAAACGGGTACACTTGCCCTCCCCATTTTGTAGCTGGGACATCTGAAGCTTAGAAAGCTGAAATCATTTGCTCAGAGAGTTGCATTTACCAGCTGGCTGTCTCTGCTCACCACCCATTGTAGCAGCTGCTTTGCCCTCAGACACTCCTGCCAGTGTCACTCACCTCTTTGCATTTTTAAATCCAAGCCATGTCTCTTCAGCACTGTCTCTGCAGAGGTGTTGCTGTGAGGACTCCAGCTGCAGCCTCTCTTCTGAAGGTCACCTGTCCCTGGTTCTGTTTGCTTCTCTGGCCTTTCTGCTCCATCTCATTCCTAAGCTCATCTTCTTTTCTAATTCTCAAGCATCGCTCCCCACCCCCTACTCCTGTCCTTCCCAGTGGTGTCTCTGAGAGGACATCACATCCATGGCTTTAACTGCCACCAAACAGTCCTCTTTTTTTTTTCTGTATGCACTTAGGGCATATGAATAGTCCTCTCTTGTCTTGAATATCCAGAGTGAACTCGGTTTACCAAAGACAGGAAACCAGGAATCCTTCTTGTTCTTCCTTATTCCCCAGGTCCAGTCAGAGACCAGGCTGTGACTCTCTCCATCTCTTGCGATTCTGTGCCTTCTCCTTTTGCTCTGCCCCAACATAGCTCAGACCATCGTAAGTTCTAACTTAGATTATTCAGTGGTCTTTTGTGCTGCTCGATCTCTTCATTTACTTGTAAGTATGCTGAAGCATTATGCTAAGCACAGGTTCAGTATTTTGTTCAACACTACTGTCTTAGTCTGCTTTCTGTTACTTATAATAGAATGCCCGAAATGGACTAATTTATAAAGAAAAGAAATGCATTTCTTTCAATTCTGGAACCTAGGAAGTCCAAGGTCGGAGGACCACTTCTGGTGAGGACCTTCTTCCTGTTTGGGACTCTCTGTGAAGTCCCAAGGCAGTGCAGGGCATCACATGGTAGGTGGGTGGGGGGGTGGCGGTGAGCATACTAGTTCAAGTGTCTCTTCCTCCTCTTCTTCCTCCTCCAGCCATTCTCTTGATAACTCATTAATCGATGGGTGGATTAATCCATTTATGAGGGCAGAGACCTCATAACCCAGTCACCTCTTAAAGGCCCTCCCTCTCAATACTGTCACATTGGAGATTAAATTTCAATATGCATTTAGGAGGACACAAATAACTCAAACCATAGCAACTACTTATGGACCCTGCTTTACAAAGCCAATCACTTGGTGTGGAAGATGGACACCAAATGATAAAATAGTAACCACTGTAAATGTCTGCTCTTGTTATTTCCCTGAGGCTGTTTTAAGGGCTCTTTTCATATGAACTCGCATAATTTTCACAATAGCCCTATGATGTAGGTATTTTTTAATTCTACCCACTTTTCAGAGGAGGAAACTGTGGCACAGGGGTTAAGCAACTTCCTCAAGGCTCTACAGCTTCTGAGTGAAGAGCTGAGATTCAGAACCAGGCTGTTGGGCTCCAGAGACCATGCTCTTTCTCATTCTACACTGTCTCTGTGCGTGTGCTGTGCTGCCTTTGCAGTTGTGATTACCAGGTCAGTGTCTGTTGTGCAGAGGAAAGTAAAGAAGCTCTGGGTGTGTGTAGTAACCGAGAACCACGAAAGCATATAGGAGGGGGCTAAGAGAGATGAGAATTTAAGGAAGTCTGTTCTGAGATGGTACAGTTTTCATTTGGAACTCGAGGCTGAAAATAAATAATCTGAACTGTGTGTGTGGGAGAAGTGCTGTTCCAGGCAGATGGACCAGCATGTGCAAAGTCCCCGAGGCAAGAGCAGGAAAGAAGGAAGACCAGTGTGGCTGCAGGGTGGAGAAGGTGGGGGCCAGGCAGGAGAGAGCCGGGTTGGGATCTGAGACACTATCGTGAAGTCTGAGAGAAACGAAGGTTAGTTTCATCTCCCTCCCGTACATTTCCCTTGCTGCTGTGTGCTCCAAACCCAAAATCTGATTACCACTCCCCTCCTTGCTTCCATTCCAAGAAGCAATTTTTTTCCATGTACAGAGAAGGCTTGTAGAATTGCCTCTATCCTGGGAAAGTGCACAGTGAGGTTGAGAAGCAGAAGTGGGAATTCTGAGTGGTGGTATTTTAATTTGTTTGTTCTCTTATTAATGGTGAACTTGATGTCTCTGCTTTTATGTGAAAGAATTCAGAGTTTGTCAGGAGTTTTGCCTTTTTTTAAAAAAATGGAGCCCAAATGGCTCACTTTCTGTTGAATTCTATTCTATGGTAAATGTTTATATATAATTTTATTAGCAGTTCATGTGTTTTAAAATGTAGAGCTTTATATCAGGGAATGTTTTGCCTTATATATGTACATCTGAATGAATGCAGTGTGATTTGTTTCTGACATTTACCATTTTGTTTTAACAGTAGGCAAAACATTTATCTTTTGAACTTCTTTTCACACTGCCATTTTGCTTGGCAATTATTTCCGGTAAAGTGTGTTTAACATTTGAATTCTGTTTTTATTCCTCAGCTCAGAAAAATGCTCAGTATGTCCTGGCGTTTGATGCATTTGTCATTGTGATTTGCTTGGCATCTCTTATTCTGTGTACAAGATCCATTGTTCTTGCTCTAAGGTTACGGAAGGTAAGACTGTGTTCACCTTCTCTTCCTGCTCTCTTGGCTCACGCCCTCAGTTTGGCCAAGCAGTGGACCACCGATGCTGTGCCACCTGCCTCTTTTGGAGCCCTTTCACTAAATTAGATTCCTCTGAGTAGTTGCCCCTATGAGGCATTCATCAGCCTGAGGTGCAGGAAGTGAGTAAAGGCTCTGAGTGTGTCAGGTGGGATCAGATAATTATCCTGTTTAAAACTGAGCTGTAAGTACAGACGCACAGTGGTGAACTCTCAGGCTTTTGAATGTTTCCAGAATAACGAGGTCCTCTTCAATTCAGGAGTGATCTGAAGAACAGAGTAATAGCATGTGTGGGTTTCATCTTTTGTCTTCAAACCAGAGTTCATTTTGACAGGGAGGCATGGTAAATTGATTATAATGAAGCATAAAATACTTTATTCTGTGTTTAAAATAGTTTTAAAATTCTCCTCTGAGTTTCATTTTGCCTTTTTACCCTCAGGGCTCTTAGGAATGTATACTTCTGTTCCCACACATCTTATTCTGGCTTGTGGCATGTGTGCCAATGCACACTGGGGTCAGGGGAAATCGGAATTCCACAGAGTACCATTTGTGGAGCAGGGACGTAGTCTGCATTTGACTTTCCGTAATCCTGACCTTTGTCAATGTCCTTTGTAAATATCCACCTCTCTTAAATGCTCCCCGATCGCCTTTATGTTCTGAATGCAAAGTTAAGGTCCTGTCCCTGCCAAGGTGAGGGGACTTATATTCAGAGCATGAGCTCTGCAGCCGGCCTTTCTGGTCTTGGATCCTGGCTTAGCCTCTTGGTGCCTCAGTTCCCTCCTCTGGATGATAGACCTGTCAGAACCTGGTTCATTGGGTTGTCACTGGAATGAACGTGTTGATAATATGAAGAGTATTTGGAACGTACTGTGTTCTAGTTATGACAGGAGCCTGCTGGAGTTAGAGCATACGTATTCCATGTTTGAGGTAACTTCACAGACAATTGAATGGTTACTCAGTTTACGGGGGAAAGTATGTGCTGTAACTTCCACCTTTGAGGTAGATCTGGCGAGCTGGAAACGCAATACCATGTCCTTTTACAGGTGAAAGCACTGTTTTGCACTTGCCTTCTCCTTCCAGAGGGCAACATGGTTTACAAGAAACACTTCTTTAAATGTTTGCCCTAGAGATTTCTAAATTTCTTCCTGGAGAAGTACAAGCGGCGTGTGTGTGATGCCGACCAGTGGGAGTTCATCAACGGCTGGTATGTCCTGGTGATTATCAGCGACCTGATGACAATCGTTGGCTCCATATTAAAAATGGAAATCAAAGCAAAGGTGAGGGAAGCCCATCTAAAGTCTTACTTTCTTCTTCTTCTCCCGCATGGCCACAGGCATCTTAGGACATACGATCCTTTGGAGACCACTTGATTCTCTGTCTTCCCTTGTCTCACAACAGTACAAGCGAGGCCTCTCCTGGATTGGTTCCTCGTGAAGGGAAAGTAGGAAGCCGTGGAACAAAACTTGGCGACAGCTGCAGAATAGTGACTAAACTTGAGAACACTGGTTATTTGGGCCTCTTTTTCTTTTTAAGTTGCAAAAGGAGTGGCTTACCCATAAACCAGTCCCTTCCCTGAACCTGCATGCCAAGAGCCTGCAGGGAGGATTTGTGACCATTGGGTGCTCCGACAGATGGGGTGAGGGCAGGAATGTCAGTGTGGCTGCTACAGCCTGGTCCTTTGTACAACTTAGTTGATTTGATCTCCTAACTAAGCCTCGACGACTACTTCACCGCACTGTTTTTCTGTCCACTCCCTGCTGTTTGCCAGAGGTCCCTCCAGCCTTAGCTCCTAACCCTGACACACCCACTCTGCCCCAACCCAGCTCCCTCTGGCTTTCTTCAGGCCTCTTACTCTTTGGCCAACTGTGGCCATAGACTCCTCACCCGCTTTCCCATCTTCCGTTTCATATCCCTGAGATCCGTTTACACAGGGACTTTTCTGGAAGTGTCTATCTGGCTGTTATCATTCTTTCTACCTCTTAGGGCCTGCTTCGGGATGAAGCGGCCTCCCTCAGCATGGCCCCTGGGGTCATCACCATCCAGCTCTGCCTCCCGCTCCTGCCTCCGCTCTAACCCTGTCCCTCTAGAAGGGCTTGTCAGCATTGTGCCTTTGTTCAGCCTGTGTCCATTGACCTGTGACGCTTCCTCCCAGCCTGTCCTGCAGGCCCATCTTTGCTCTGGGGTGGAGTCTGTGGTGGTCCCTCTGTGCTGTCTTTCACTACATTTAGCATATTATATGAGAATCAGGTTTGTGTTTTGTCTTTTCTACTAGCCCTAGATTTTCCTGAGAGCAGGAACCATGTTAGCAAATCATGTTGGAATTTTCTTTCAAAAGCAGCTGAATTGTATTGTTTGATACTTAACAAATACCATTAATTTATGTCCTCGAATGTCTACGTCAGTGATAAATGCGATTTCTATTTCAGAGTATTACTAGGAAAAAAAATTTAGTTCAACTAATTGAAATACTAAAAGAAAATGAGAAACAAATTTGGAATTATACTCTCTGTTTTTCTTCTTTAAAGAACTCTTACTATCACCTATAGGGAGGCAAATAGTTCTTTTCTCATAAATTGGTTTAAAGTAAGGTTAATAAGCTAAGTGGAATCAAATATTTTACTCATTTGTCTCGTTTTCTTGTTCATTTATTCATTTATGTTTTCATTCCTTAGAATCTCACAAACTATGATCTGTGCAGCATTTTGCTTGGAACCTCTACACTCTTGGTTTGGGTTGGAGTCATCAGATACCTGGGTTATTTCCAGGCATATAACGTAAGGATGTGGCACTGGGCAGTGCCAGTGCACTTGAGACTCATTTATTCTTTGAGGTCTAATAGCTACTTTTCCATTTCATCCGTCCTGTTAATTCTTTTTTTTCAGGTGCTGATTTTAACAATGCAGGCCTCACTGCCAAAAGTTCTTCGGTTTTGTGCTTGTGCTGGTATGATTTATCTGGGTTACACATTCTGTGGCTGGATTGTCTTAGGACCGTACCATGACAAGGTATGCAGCACAAATTCTTCCTTCTGCACATGGGCACATGGCACTCTTGATCATGGGTTTCTAGCACTTACAGGCTTTTTAATCTTCTCTATCACGTACCCTTGACATCAGTAAGCACATATCTTTTTATCAGTTTTTCTTTTTTTCCTTTTCAGGATATAGAAGTGACTATAGGATATTGAACCAAGAACTGTGCAAGACTAGAAAGCATGGATTATAGTTGTCTGGGGCTGGCTTAAGGGGTCACATAGTTACCCAGTGATCATCAAATGGGAAATGTTTGGAGATGAGATCACTATATTGAAAATGAAAATTAAGTGAGGAAAATTCCTATTAAAAATTTCCAATTTTAAGTATTATGTTTTTCATCCAAGTTAATTGAGAAGACTGAAGATGGGCAGAGACTGCCTGGAAAAACCATAGTAGATTTATGGTTGAAATGGTGACATGTCTTGTCTCTGCAGATGGTTTTGGTTACAGCATCATCTTTGTGCCTTATTAAAGATCAGTATCTGAATTCTAAACTATTACCAAACTTCAGTTAGCATTATAATCTCAGGGACATCAAAGTTATGCTAAGATGTTCTTGTTATAAAATGATATATTTGATTGGTAGATACATCAGGAAATGAAAGTAGGTAAACCTTGTTTTTAACCCAAAAAAGTAAAAGGAGTTATTTCATTCCATGGCTTTTCCTCCATGGGCCTGTGGCAGTTGGAACAATAGAAATAACGAAAATAGCAGCAGCTCACACTTACGGCTTGTGTGTTAGACACTCTGCTGGGCTTTTCTGTTTTCTTTCTTACTTACTCCCCCCAACAGCCCAGGGTACTGTTTTCCTCACTTAGATGCTCTGCAAGGAGAAGAGGTTAAAAATGGCAAGTGTTGTTTCCAAGTTTGTATAGCAGTAAGCCTTAAGTTCTGACCTTGTTAATACCATTGGCCAAAGAACGTATGATCAAATCTGGTTTACAAACTGTTAACGAAGAGTAAGTTATACGTAAGATTAATGCATAGCTTACTCTTCTATCAGAAGGTTTAAGATTAATGCATAGCTTACTCTTTGTTATTAATGTATAGCTTACGCTTTGTTATTATTTATTATTCTGATAGCCGTCCTATCAGAATAATGCCAGGTAACCGGGCACAGTCAGACTTTCTCCTTTTCAAGTGTCACATTTAATATGTCTAGAGAGAATTACTGTTTTTCCTATTTGAGGTATTATATAATTAACGAAGTGACAACCTCTGGGTTAGTAGTAAATCCTGGTAATATTATTGCTCTTCAAATTCCATGTCACTGCTTTAAAGGTGACTCATGAGAAAAAAATTATTCTTTGCTGTGATATCTCAGATTTGGAGAACTTACTGTCAGAGCCTGGAAAAATATATTTTTTCTTCCTTACTTGCCTCATGCTCTGAAAGTTTTTCCACCTCTTTGTCACTAGAGGGCAGTGTTGTACTGTGTGGAATAAATACTGTGCCTGAGGATTTGGCTTTAATTCACTGACCCCAAGGTCTCTGGACAAGTGGTCCCATCTCCTTTGTACCCCACCCCCATCTCCCCTACCTCATCATTATTCTGGAAGGTGCTCAGATAAGGTTGCTCGAATTTTACTAGATGGCTGCCATTCTCAAATGCTGTCTGTTAGGCATGGTGCCCAGGATTCTTCATATCCCTTGCTGTGTTAACCCTTCACTCCCCTTCTCTGTGAGGAAATCTGATGATCCTTTCACAGAAAATAGGCATCTTAATATATTAAATAATATTCCTGAGATTATCCAGCTAGAAAATGGCAGAGATGGGATTCAAACCCAGGTCAGCCTGACTCCAGTACCTGTGCTTTGATCCATACTCTGTCTGTAAGGCTTTTCTTGGTATTATCTAAAACAGATAATTGTAGGAGAGCATTTAGTCTGACAAGAAACAGCCTTGTACTTGGAGATCAACCGTGATTGGACAGCCATGTTGTCACTCTCATTCTCTCAATGATGTCAAGGTCACCTCGTGGAAAATGAGGTTACTTGTTTTGTGAGCCTGACTGCATTTCCATATGTTCAATTTTGTCCTTTCAAAGGATCCAGGTGAAATTGGGATGTTCTGAACCAGCACTGTCCAGAACAATGCAATCTGGGCTATAACTGAGAGCCTTGCCTATACTGTAAAATTTTCTAATATCCACATTAAGAAATAAGAAACTGATGAAATTAATTTCAATGATATATTTTAAGCCTAATATACCTAAAACATTATTTCAGCATGTATTCATTATCAAATATTGAAATATTTTACATTCCTTCATACTAGTCTTTTTGATCTGGTAGATCTTTTATCCTCACGGCACACCTCAATTTGGTCTAGCTACCTATTGGATGCTGGCTAGCCACACGTGGCTGGTGACTACCATTATGGACATTGCAGCTCTAGACTTATGTCTGTCACTTAATATCAGCTTTCCCTTTACCACCGCCCCAGCCCCCACCCCCTCCAGAGGAGTGGAGGGATAGGGGATGTCTGTAGGGTTGTCTGTAGGTCTGTTTACGGTATCTCTCACCAGGCTGATATATTGGGGAAATGCACAGTTGAGTTAATTCACTGAATGTACAAGTCAGGGGAGAGAAAGAAAACGTTAGCCTGGTTTTGGAATTTTGTGTTTTTCTTCTCCATATTGCTGCCTCTTTGAATCTGAAGTTAGAATTCAGGATGCCCCTTGCATCCTTACCCCCAAATTAATCCAAGCTGTCAGCATGTTCAGGGTTTGCCAGTGTCTGAATCAGAGGACTTTCAGGATTACCTGAAGCCTTGAAAAGCTGAGCATTCCAAGCAGGCATTTTTGTAGGATTTTTAGAATCATAGCAATCTTTATTGTGAAAGCTAATTCTTTCTTTAAAACAAAACAACTGAAAAGAGACATCAGGAAAACTGTAATTCTATACTACTATTTGGCTGATAGCTGGGGTCTCATAACACATCAGCTTCCTGTCTTCCTGTTAGGCATCTGATTTCAGGGGCTCAATGGTAAGGGATTCAAGATACAAAAAGTATCCTGCTGATGTGTGTTCCCAGCACTAATGCACTTTGGCACAATGCCCTTTCAAAATGTCTGGACACCAAGGGCGAGAGACAGACTGTTAATGTTCTTCCAAACCAAATCTTGAATTATTAAACATTACTCTAATGTGGCTTTTACATTTCCAGAGGACTTTTTTGGTCTATGAGGAATAACTCATAGCCTTGCTTTGTCCCCATTTTACAAATGAGAAGACCAAGGCTTGAAAAATTGTTGGACTTTGCTGATGCCATGGGTCAAAGTTCAGCAGACTCTGCATTACATTTTCCTTCTTCCAAGGCCTCTTGTTTTAGTCAAGTACCTCTCATTCCAAAGAACCATTAGCCAGCTAAAACATTTTGCCTAAAGTTTGCCTGAGATTCTTGGCATCAGCTCTTAAAGCAAATATTTATGTCATTCTCTGACATAAGCCATTGCAGGTTATGTTTTTATTGAAATGAAATGTTTTTGGCCCAACTGCAAAATTACTCTTTGTGAAATGAATGGTTGGGTTCTTGCTGTGGTCCCAGAGAACCTGTGGGGACTGTTTATGGAAATAGCCATTTAATATGTATTAAATATCTACTGTGCACCCAACATTGCTAGGTTCTTATAGACCAAGTTCTTGGAGGGCAGGAGCTATGGCTTATTTCTCTTTACATTCCCAGGCTCCAGCTTAGTACATAGACCATGGTAGGTGCTCAACAAGTTTGTTGAACAAACAAAAAGCAATGGGCGGGGGGGAGAGAGAGGGAGAGAGAGAGAGAGAGAGAGAGAGAGAGAGAGAGAGAGAGAGAGTGTGTGTGTGTGTGTGTGTAATACCTGCTTTCCAGGGGCTGTGATCTCTCAAAAACCAAAGGAATGCCCTACAAACGTGGTCCTTCTAGACTGGAAGCACATTAGGACCTTGAGTATTTTTAAGCTCAATTCTACTATGGCATTTGGCCACTGAAACAGACTCTGGGTCACAGCCACTTGTACAAAATGGCAGGGTGTTACCAAACACCTAAAATTGACTGGGTCTCTGTTTTAACTCTTCGGTGTGTTAAAATAATTCTCATGTTTACAAGAGGAGGAGGAAGTAAAATGGTTATGAATAATGTTAACGTCGAGACAGATATTGTGTCTAGCCTGATAAGTAACTAAACAGAAAATTAAGAAATGAATATGACATGTACTGACCAACTAGCTATTTGCAGTTGAAACCTGAAGCACAGACAGTTGTGCTTGGACTTAGGGGTTGCAACTAGAGAAAGGAGTTGACTGGATTCCAAAAGAAACTGAGAAATATGAATGATTAATGGTGCTGTCAGAGTTCTAATTGACATCCATAGAAACCAACTTTAGTGTCAATCTTTTAAGCTTTAACTTCAGTGTTTCAAGGCTAGTGTAGGGTATGGAAAATATTTACTCTGGAAACCCCTATTTTACTGTTAAATAATCTACATATTGTTAAGTGATTTGTTCAATTGGATATTTCCTCTAGGTCTTTATGGAGAAGGACTTGAGTTCTTCAGAGTTTTTGCTGATGCAGCAAAGCCATGAGTGGGATCCTTGTTTGGGGTGCATTTGTGGACCCTCTCCCTTGGCCACCAGTTTGGCTTGCCTGGTCCAACCACATGGCTTGGCTGGTAGTGTAAGGCGTGATATTTTTATCTAGTTGCAGGACAGGGAAGTGTGCATAAAAATAATTAGAGGACCATCCGTAGTTCATTCTGTGATTGTTACCGATATGGAGTGCAGAGAAAGGACTAGAGATGCCAGGGCACTCTGTCTTGAAGTACACTCCGAATTAACTCTTGAACATTAGCTTAACTGGACACAGAGAAGAGAAGGATATAGCAGGTGAGGAGAATAAATTCCATGAGGGAAAAATGTAGGGATGGGCCTGGTATTGGAGGAGATAAGCACAGCATGTTAATATTGACAAGGAGGAGGCCGGACATGGAGGCTCATGCCTGTAATCCCAGCACTTTGGGAGGCTGAGGCAGGCAGATCACAAGGTCAGAAGTTTGAGACCAACCTGGCCAACATGGTGAAACCCTGTCTCTACTAAAAATACAAAAATTAGCTGGGTGTGGTGGTGGGCGCCTTCAGTCCCAGCTACTCAGAAGGCTGAGGCAGGAGAATCACTTGAACCCTGGGGGCAGAGGTTGCAGTGAGCCAAGACCATACCATTGCACTCCAGCCTGGGCGACAGAGTGAGACTCAGTCTCAGAGAAAAAGAAAAATTGACAAGGATGAGATGTGATGAGGCTGTATGAAGGAGGAACTTACTACAACCTTCTTGGTTTGGGCTTTTATTTTGCACCCAGACTTTGTATAATCTCACAAGAGAGAAATTACCTGAAAGCCATCTTCTTCAAGTACAGGTTTCCCTGCAGCTTCAACTGGGAAAAGTGAAGAGATTAGAGTAAAAGAGACTTCCTTGGAAGTTTCTGTAATAATTCAGAAATTCATGTTGACATCACAGTAGAGTAGAAAGGGCAGATCGGAGAAATGTGATAGGAATGGACAGGCCTTAGAAGACTGAAAGGGAGAAGAGTAATCAGTTCAACACAGAGTTCTAAGGACTTAATTATTTCGGACTGGTTCTTTGGTAGGAGATTGGAATCATTGACAGAAATAGGGCAATTTAGAAAAAAGGCTCATTTTTCTGGTTAGGGTGGTGGAAAGTTTTGTTGGCATTTCCAAGGAATGGTGTGTTATATAACAAATGTCAGCGGGGTGCCATGGCTCATGCCTGTAATCCAAGCATTCTGGGAGGCCGAGGTGGGTGGATCACCTGAGGCCAAGAATTTGAGACCAGCCTGGCCAACATGGTGAAACCCTATCTCTACTAAAAATACGAAAATTAGGCGGGCTTGGTGGCACACACCTGTAGTCCCATCTGTTTGGGAGGGTGAAGTATGAGAATCACTTGAACATCGGAGGCAGAGGTTGCAGTGAGCTGGGATTGCACTGCACTCCAGCCTGGGCAGCAGAATGAGACTCCATCTCAAAAAAAAAAAAATAAATAAAACAAAAACCTCACAAATGCTCTCTAAGTATAGAAAACATAAGAAGATGCTTATGTTAATTAGGAGAAAAACTGGGATCTAAATTGTTAGATGATATGACCACAAATATATAAAAAAATACATCAGGGAAAGCTGAGGGAATTGTCGAGAGATTAACTTTGAGAGTATAGAGAGGGGTGTGTGTGTGTGTGTGTGTGTGTGTATGTGTGTGTGTATGTATGTGTGTGTGTGTATGTTTTAAAGAGACAGGGTCTTGCTCTGTCCCCCAGGCTGCAGTGTAGTAGCACAGCGTTGGCTCACTGGACCCTGAACCTCCTGGACTCGAGATTCTCCCTCCCAAGCCTCCCGAACGCTGGGACTACAGGCGCACCACCATGCCCAGATGATTTTTGTATTTTTTGTAGAGATCGGGTCTTGTCATCTTGCCCAGGCTTGTCTCAAACTCCTGGGTTCAAGTGATCCTCCAACCTTGGCCTCTCAAAGTGCTGGGATTATAGGCATGAGCCACTGTGCCTAGCCCAGAGGGGATTTTTGAATGATGTTTTCCTACTTCTTGTGGCGGTCTAGCATCTTAAAATAATTAAGTTACCACTACTACAAATGACAAAAACAATGTTAACAAAACAAGCTAACTGGATACCGTCGACTTTTTAGAATACTCTATTTCAGAACCTAATTTTTATTTCTCCCAACAGTTTGAAAATCTGAACACAGTTGCTGAGTGTCTGTTTTCTCTGGTCAATGGTGATGACATGTTTGCAACCTTTGCCCAAATCCAGCAGAAGAGCATCTTGGTGTGGCTGTTCAGTCGTCTGTATTTATATTCCTTTATCAGCCTTTTTATATATATGATTCTCAGCCTTTTTATTGCACTTATTACAGATTCTTATGACACCATTAAGGTAATTATCAATATTTGCTGCCAAAAAAAATTACTGCAAATTCTTTATAGATTATAGAAAAATACCACATTTTAAAAACGTACTTAAAATATTACAGTTCAGATTTTAAGGTAGACTTTTTAAAGGCTGGAGATGAATTTTAGGACATTGTCCCTGTTACCCACAGCAGGGTGGATCGGTTTGGAGGGGTGGTGGGAAACAGAACGGGAATGGGGTAAGGATGGGTGGAATGGGGTGAGTCAGGTAGTCGGGCTGCTGGTCTCAGCCCTGACAGATAAACCTGCCAGTGTGGCTACCTGAAACTTAGGATAGAGTCATGAGTTTCAGGGATGAGAGATGACTGGCACCCTGACAACTCTCAGATATTGCTACAACTCACACTGGATGATATGGCTACTGTCATGGCATAGGTTTCCTTTACATTTTGAAAACTAAGGCTTTTGTGACTGTTTAGCTTCTCCCTCCCCTCCCCTCTCCTCCCCTCCCCTCCCCCGCTTCCCTTCTCTTCCCCTCCCCTTCCTTCCCCTCCTCTCCCCTTCCTTCCCCTCCCCTCCCCTTCCTTCCCTTCCTTCCCTTCCTTCCTTCCTTCCCTTCCTTCCCTTCCTTCCCTTCCCTTCCCCTCTCTTCCCTTTCCTTTTTTGGAGTCTCACTCTGTTGCCCAGGCTGGAGTGCAATGGCACAATCTCTGCTCACTGCAACCTCTGCTTCCCAGGTTCAAGCGATTCTCCTGCCTCAGCCTCCTGAGTAGCTGGGATCACAGGCGCCAGCCACCATACCCCGCTATTTTTTTTTTGTATTTTTAGTGGAGACAGGGTTTCACTGTCTTGGTCAGGCTGGTCTTGAACTCCTGACCTCATGATCTGCCCATCTTGGCTTGCCAAAGTGCTGGGATTGCAGGTGTGAGCCACTGTGCCCACCCTAGCTTCCTACTTTCTTAAGCTACCTGATAGGTTCTGTATCCTTTCAGACTAGGCCCATTTAACTGATTTGGGTGCTGGTATCATCTTCACAGCAGATGGTCATGCTTAGAAAACCCTGCTTCAGGGTCAGTGACTGAAAAACCATGGGTGCCTGCCTTTGTCAGGGCTGTTTTTTGCTTAACCACTTTTTCAGAATAATGCAAAAGAAAGCCAGTCCATTGGGAGAACTCCTGAATGCCTTTTGAGTGTGGGGAGATAAGGTTCAAGTGGGAATGGTAGTTGGCTCTCGCAGCAGGGCTTGCATGGAGAAGGAAGAGGTGCACAATCCTGCTACAGAGGGGCAGGGGAGCCTCAGTGTTGAAGTGGGTTGTCTTATTAAGCATGAGGGGAGGGAGTCTTTGTGTCTGCTTGGAAAAATCTACTGTCTTCTGTCCCACTAAGTGACCAACTTCCATTAAAGTAGAGGAAATAGTGATTACTTCCCAGGCAGAGTCTTCATTACCAATGTGTATGTGGAGTTGGGAGGTCTTATCTAGTCTTGCTGTTAGCATTAAAGCTTAAGACATTTTTTTAAGAGAGAGGGTCTTGCTCTGTTGCTCAGGCTAAAGGACAGTGGTGTGATCCTACCTCAATATAGCCTCCAACTCCTGGGCTCAGTCAATTCTTCTGTCTCAGCCTCCAAAGTAGCTGGGACTACAGATGCACACCACCATACCCAGATAATTTTTGTATTTTTTGTAGAGATGGGGTCTCACCATCTTGCCCAGGCTGCTCTCAAACCCCTGGGATCAAGAAATCCTCTTTCCTTGTCTTCCCAAAGTGCTGGGATTACAGGCATGAGCCATTGTATGCAGACTAGACTTTTGACTTTTGATTATTTCCTTCATTACCTTTTTAAAACAAACCTCTCCCTGGCTCTCCTCTGCTTTCTTTCCGAAGTTTTCCTCCAGATTGTTCTCTGTTCCCACAGTGGCCCTGGCTTGGTGTTCTGGGACTGACAGATTGATTCATCATTGTTAATATCGGTTCTTGAATCTGAGATAGCAATGTGGGAGAGTTTTATTTTAGTAAAGGTGGGCTTGGTTTGTTGACAAAAGAGCAATTTCTCATGCTCTATAAATAAGGTAACAACATTGTGTACTTTCTAAAGAAATTCCAACAGAATGGGTTTCCGGAAACGGATTTGCAGGAATTCCTGAAGGAATGCAGTAGCAAAGAAGAGTATCAGAAAGAGTCCTCAGCCTTCCTGTACTGCATCTGCTGTCGGAAGAGGTCAGTATCATGTTTAAGCTCCACGCTTCTGTAGTGGGCTGCTCTGTTCCTTAAGAAAAAGCCCCTGCAATAGTGGGAAAGAATTCATCTTTCTCTTCTTTCCTCCCACTAAAATTGGCTTTAGAAATGAATTGTTTCTTCTACAACAGGGTTGTGTAGAAAGCTACATGATGTGATTGTAATCTCTTAGGAATACTATAAGACTAGTAAGAGAAGGCATAAATTGTGTCCCTAAAGTCAAGAGGCTGAACTCTTAAGTGGCCCAAGTGAGAGGCCAAAGCTCTTATTTTTAGAGGTGGAACTCTGGGAATGTCAGAGGCATTTTCTCTTTTCACAGCATGTGGTTCAAGCAACCTTTCTTGATCAGAGCAGGAAGCCTCCCTGCGAGGAGGCTGTCCAAGTGCTTGGTTAGCAATGCACACTTCCTTGCCCAGCTGTGCTTTGCCTGCTGTTCATCAGGATACGTAGGGAAATGTTCTAGACCTCAGTGGACAAAGTGTATTGCATAGTGATTTGTGGACTAGAATGGGGGTCAGGTGAAGACTATTTTTTTGATGTGCCTATGTTTGCTTTCATCTGAAGTCAGGGGTGCCAGTTTGTCACTAAAAGTAAACCCTACGCATGTTTTTTCTTTTTGGAAAGATTCTCTAACCCATATTCCTGAAGGAAGCTAGGAGAACATAATTGCTATTTAAAACCACAGGATGTATTTTTCTGTTAATCAATTCATATAGCATCTTGGGACTTACAATGATATGACTGAGCAGATCGAGGGGATGTCTGGTAAATAGAAAATGAGATCTGAGAAGAGCTGTTTTCAGAACCACACCTTATTTTCTCAGAGCACTAAATCGTTGCTATGAAAGCTGGGATAAAGGAAATTAATTTTCTTAATAGGCAGTTGCCTCCTAGGAGGTACCTTGTATAAGGAAAGTCTCTCAAAATTTCTTTCTTACTATAAGGGGTAAAAATTTCATTGGAAAATGTAGTCATGAATTCTAAAACATAGCTGATAGGTCTTTGGTGTTTGTGACACACGAAGTCCTGGGAGGTTGTTAAATGTTTTCTCATGCAGCCCTATGGAACAAGTGAAATATTTAAGGTGTGGACCTGAAGATTTTTGGGTCAGATTGGATCTGAGTGGTGAGACATAAGGAGCAATAGCAGCAGACAGTTTACCCTAAGGTGTGCTGAGGGTTGTTACAAAGATGCATGATGAGACAGAGGGTCTGCTCCTCAAGAAGAATGAAAGAATTCGAGGGAACGAGAAAATCCACCAAGGAGATCAGCTGAAGAACGAGGATGATGAAAGTTTGAAAAAGAGGATATCAAAGAATAAAGACATAAATAGCTGTAACTATGTTTGGCCAAATGATGGTCCTGGATGAAGTCAGCTATAACAGTTTCAATGGAATCATCAGACCAAAGCCTAGATCCCAGGACCCTGCAGAGTGAATGAAGGGCATAGGCCCTGATGGAAGGAAATGGATTGTAATGGGACCTTGAGAAAAAGCAATGGCTTTGACTCCATCAAAAAGTAAATAGAGCTTGATGTGTTTAAATGCTAGGAATGGGGCTGGGTACGGTGGCTCATGCCTGTAATCCCAGCATTTTGGGAGGCCAGGGCAGGAGGATCACTTGAGCTCAGGATTTTGAGCATGGGCAATGTAGTGGGACCCTGACTTTTTAAAAAATAAAATAAAAGCTAGGAACAGAAGAATGGACTGAAATTGAAGAAGGCTGTGAATGTGGAAGGTAAAGATGAATATAAAAATTCAGTGCTGCAAAGATTGGTCTCTATGCCCCTGTCTGGTGACCATGACAAATGACACCTGCTATCCCAATGCTACTTTCTGCAGAGGATGGCTGTGGCCACTCCTCTTCAACAGAACAATCCAACAACCAGCACACATTTGATCCTCAGAGCCTCTAGCCTGAGCATCAGAACACCTGGGTTTTTCATTCTGGACACTGCCTTTAACCAAGTGTGTCCTGTGACCTCTCCTAAACCTCTAGGATGGACCAGATGACCTCTGAAACATCTTCCAGTTTTAAAATGATGTGGTTCTTTGAAGAGAGATGCTTGGTTGAACAGATGCAGAATTAACCCTTCTCTTCCTCTACTGCAGTGAAGGAGGAAAATTGGCTGTTCTAGTCATTGACAAGGTTCTGTTAGCGAAGGGACATGAAGGTATTTTTTTTCCAGAATCAAACCGATATACTCATTGAGTAAAACATAAATGTGACATGTTTTTCTTTTTAAAAAAATTTTACATTAAGTTCTGGGATACATGTGCTGAACATGCAGGTTTGTTACATAGGCATACATGTGCCATGGTGGTTTGCTGCACCTGTCAACTTGTCACCTAGGTTTTAAGCTTCACATGCAATAGACATTTGTCCTAATCCTCTCTATCCCCTTTCCCTTAGCCAAGAGGCCCCAGTGTACGATGTTCCCCTCCCTGGGGTCACGGAGGTTCTCAAGAGACAGGTGACTCCTCACAGTGTTTCCAAAGCATCTACTCAAACTTCAAACAGCGTACATTGTCCTTCTTCATTATTTATTTACTTATTTATTCCGAACATTGGTAAATAATCAGAATACATTGCCTGTCTTAATTTTTCTTCCTCTTATATGTTTCAGTCAACATGTCTATAATCATGTGAGCCTAGAATACAGAGTATTCCTATTGCTCCTCAAGGATTTTAAATTATTGTGTTTTCTCCTTTCCCTTTCTGTTACAGGAAAAGAAGTGATGATCACTTGATACTTATTAACTAAAGTTCTTCTGCTAAAGATGATTAAAGTTCAGGCCTCCTTATTCAGTGGCTGGGCAGAGGAACTCCAAATGACTTGGACCAGCATTTCCAAAATAACTCTCTTATTTACTGTGGAGTGGGAAAGAGGACTTGTGGTTAGCCAGCTGACCATGACCGAAGTTCCAGCTTTACTTTTTATAAATTGAATGATAAAGAATGGACCATAGGCTACTACTGGGCATTAGTGCAATTGAACAGCAATAATAAAATTCTCTATTAGTTGTTAATCTATGACATGATCTTGGAATGGAAAAGATCACATTTCAGAGTGTGCAAAAGCAGTAGTGTTTAAGGCCATGTCATAAGTATGTGTGTTTATTGTCAAATAAGGATTTGTTTTAAAGGTGATTCTTCGGTTTGAAGACATTTGTTAATTCATGATCTGTACAGAAATGAAGTTGGTTGTAATACCAATCTAGAGACTCCAAGCTGGTGAACTATTAAGCCGTTTAAACATCACCCTTGGCCAGGCATAGTGGCTCACACCTGTAATCCCAGCACTTTGGGAAGCCTAGGCAGGCAGATCATTTGAGCTCAGGAGTTTGAGACCATCCTGGGCAACATGGCAAAACCCCATCTCTACAAAAAATTCAAAAATTAGCCAGGTGTGGTAGCAGACATCTGTAGTCCCAGCTACTTGGGAAGATGAAGTAGGAGAATCACCTTAGCCCTAGAGGTTGAGGCTACTGTGAGCTGTGATTGTGCCAGTGTCCTCCAGCCTGGGTGACAGAGTGAGACTCTGTCTTAAAAAAAAAAAAAAAAGATCACCCTTAAATAAACAAAAAGGCCTCATGCTCATGCAGTGGGCTTTTCTTGGCCTGTTTTCCTCTGGGTTTTCTTCAGCATGATATGAAGCAACTGTTGGCATAGCCAGTGGGATGAGTAGGAAATGGAATCATTTGGCTGCCTCATCGCTGTGCTGATGGTCATTTGTACACACACGACATGTGGAAGTGACCTGTAGCAGTGGTCACTCATTTTAACAATTGAACTCCACTGTGTTGGGTATTTACCTTTGTCTAGCCAAGAAATATGGTATATTTTCTCTAAATAAATTTATTTTTATCATTCCATATGGCACTAGTACTATTTTATGCAGTATCTCTAAACAACTTCCTAGTGAAAAATTCAGATCACATCTCTCTTAACTACTTGGTCTCCAAAAGGGATTTCCCAATTTCATAAAAGCAGTGAAGAAGATACAGAGGCTAGGATATAGAAGTTATTCAATAAATATTTATGATGATACCTTGAGAGATGAAGATCACTTCATGCATAGACTTATTTCATACTCGAGCTATCTCAGTGGTCAGCTATTTAAAAGTTATTGGTAAAGAGGAGAATCTGAATTAGGCAGGACCCCCCTTCCAGGGCTCTTCCTCTTTCTCCTTGGCGTCAGTCTTCTCTCCCCACAATCCCCTACCCAGTTTTCCTCCTCCTGTCACCTTCCCCCTCCTTGCTCCACCTCCATTTCATATGCCTGTATCAAATCTAGGAAGGGAAAAATCATGCAGTTAATACCATTAAAGTTTAAGAGAGTAAATGACTCATATCTACACACATAAAACTTGGCTAAAAATTATTTTAAATTTTCTTTTTTGCAAAATATGTGAAGAGTTATGTTTGATTTTTAAACCAAGACACCATTAAACTTGTGACTTGGGGGTAATTTGCATGACTCCACAATCAGATATGTAATTGGACCACTTGTTAACTTCTGAGTTTATTGTATACTTAGTTTTGTCTCTGAAAATAATTGCTATTTTTTTCTTTTTTTTTTTTTTTTTAGAGGGAGTCTGGCACTGTTGCCCAGGCTGGAGTGCAGTGGTTCGATCTTGGCTCACCGCAACCTCTGCCTCTTGGGTTCAAGCAATTTCCCTGCCTTAGCCTTCTGAATAGCTGGAACTACAGGAGCACACCACCACGTCGCCTAATTTTTAGTATTTTTTTAGTAGAGACTGGGTTTCACCATGTTGGCCAGGATGGTCTCAATCTCCTGACTTTGTGATCAGCCCACCTTGGCCTCTCAAAGTGTTGGGATTACAGGCGTGAGTCACCGTGCCTGGCCCAAGAATTGCTATTAAAAGGATTTCACTTATTGTGCAGCTGTGACTGCCATTTAAACAGAAGATTAATGATGAGCTTTCATGCTCTTAGTATTCTTTTATTGGCTTTCATGTTTTATTTCTTTCTCTCCAGCTGGACAAAACCATTTTAAGAAGAAAAATGTTTTTTCAGGGTTACCCCACATCTATAGCAAACATTGTTTTCTCCCTTTTTAATAATGTTAAACAATTGTCACTTTACCAACTGTATTGTCTCTTTGGATTTTATTGAACAATATTGTCTTATAATTCTGCTAATAGATGTATCTGGGATAAATTATTTTCTCTCTTATTATTAGTCTCCTTGGAGAGTTCTCTGTGAAAGTTAGGAGACACATTCTTTCTGCCTGCTGGTTTCATTCTGGTATCTCCAACCCTTGAATTCACTTCCTTGGCTAGTGGTGACACAGCTCAAACCATATGCAACAACTTGAAGCTTGTTCACTTGCGGTGGTAAGAGAGAGTGTGAGCATAAGAGACATCTAGACAGACTTGAGTTAAAATTCCAGCTTAACGGCTGAGCACAGTGGCTCATGCCTCTAACCCCAGCACTTTGGGAGGCTGAGGTGGATGCATCATGAGGTCAGGAGTTCAAGACCAGCCTGGCCAACATGGTGAAACCCCATCTCTACTAAAAATACAAAAATTAGCTGGGCCTCTAACAGATGGTGGTACTCTGTAATCCCAACTAATCAGGAGGCTGAGGCAGGAGAATTGCCTGAGCCTGGGAGGCGGAGGTTGCAGTGAGCTGAGATGGTGCCACTGCACTCCAGTCTGGGTGACAAAGCAAGACTCTGTCTCAAACAAAACAAAACAAATAAACAAAAATCCAGCTTAACTTTCAGGCCTTGAACAAGTTACTTTCTTGCTCTAAGTGATGATAAACCTTAACCAAGACTGGCACTTAAGTCATGTAATTCATGCAGAGCCTGGCATTGAATTCATTTCTGAGCTATTGTTTCCCTTTGATTTTCTACCATGTTTGCAAGTTTCCATGGAACCATGGAATGATCCAGATATGAACAACTTTGCTTCTGCAACCTGTCTGCCTCAGCTGTCCTCCTCCTACTACAACCTGAGTCTCCTTGAACAGGTCACACCACGCATGGATTTCCTCATCCATAAAATGGGGGGATTATGAGGATTAAATAAGTCAAATATAAAGTGCATGGAAAAGGGCATGATTCCTAAATGCGTAATAACTATTAGCTCTTCAAAAAAATGCCTTAGTTACGTAGTCTACAAATGCACAAATCTAATTCATCTGGACCAGCCAGGAAGATTTTTATTTTATAAAGAGCTCACCACACACTTCTGGTGAACTTTGTTTTAGTTAGAACTTTAAGTGTACAAAAGTTTCCCATCCAGCCCTGTCCTGGAGGCAGTGATCAGTTCAGCCCTGAGAAGCTCACACCTAGCCATAGAGGAGCAGCAAGGGGAAGCAGCCTCAATGCCTGAGGCACAGCTTTCAGTCCTGTTAGAAGAGAAAAGGTCCAGGAAGTGCACAAGCTGTCACAAAGCCCCAGCCCTTCACCCTGGGTGAGACAGACCCTCAGTCCTCTACTAAGAGCCTAATCCCTTAACCAAACTTGTCAGAATGTATGAAATTCAGGCCCACTTGCTTCTCAACCCATTGCTGATTCAAAGTGGTGAATGCAAAAGAGTGAGAGAGGGTAGTTAGGAAAAGCTCCTCATGCAGTTCCAGGCACTATCCCTCACTCCTGCTGAGGACCTACACCCCAACAATTCTAAGAAGGGTACAGTGGAAGCCCGTGCTTGGAATCATGGGTTTATGAAAAGCATAATAGCCCAGCCTTTTGATTTAGGGGTAGCCAGTTGCTCTCTTGTCCCTGTAGACCTTCAAGTAAAAATAGCCCAGCACTGTCACTGATGTTCAGGGGCCTTTCTAAAGTCATTGGGAAGGTATATTCAGTAAACTACCACCATGGTCTTGGCCAGAGTTGTTTTTTGACAATATCAAGAGCGGTGATGTTTGCCGATATGATTCCAGATATCTGAACAATTCACTTGTGACAGCCACATATTGCAGTAACATTAGATGAATAGACCTCATTTTACTGCTAAATCAGTTCCATCTTTATTTTCTTGTAACTTGGGCAAATTTTATTTTGCTTTGCTTCACTTGAAGTTTGAACATTTTAACCACGTAGTCCCTCCTTGTTCACAGAGAATATGTTTCAGGACCACCAGTAGAGGCCTTAAATGCCGAACAATACTGAATCTCACATAGGTTAAGCATCCCTAATTCAAAAATCCAAAAGCTGAAATGCTCCAAAATCTGAAGCTTTGAGTGCCAACATGGCTCCACAAGTGGAAAGCTTCACAACTGACCTCATGTGATGGAGTGCAGTCAAAACTTTGTTTCATACACAAAATTATTTAAAATAGTATATGAAATTGCCTTCAAGCTATGTATATAGGCTATATATGAAACATAAATGAATTTTATGTTTAGACTTGGATCCCACTCCCAAGATATCTCATTATGTATATGTTAATACTCTGAAAGCTGAAAAAAATCCAAAAGCTGAAACACATCTAGTCCCAAGCATTTTGGATAAAGGATACTCAACCTTTATACATTATGTTTTTTCGTATACATACATACATATCTAAAATAAAGTGTAACTTATAAATTAGGCACAGTGAGAGATTAACAACAATAACAAAATAGAACAATTATAACAATATGCTGTATTAACAATAGTAAAATAGAACAATTAAAACAACACTATACTGTAATAAAAGTTATATAAATGTGGTCTTACAAAATATCTTACTATACTGTATTCACCCTTCTTATGATGTGAAATGATAAAATGTGTATGTGATGAGATGAAGTGAGGTGAGTGACGCAGACACTGTGATGTAACATTAGACCACTACTGACTTTCCGATGATATGTCAGAAGGTGGTCCCGGATCATTGAGCCATGAACATATCAATGGTTAGATGTCAGTAGAAGATGATGCTGATGACTAATGGATGGGGAGCGTCTCAGAATGGACACGCTGGACAAAGCGAGGATGCATGTGAGAATGGATGGGATGACACAGCATGAGATTTCATCACAACACTCCAAATGGCAGGCAACTTAAAGCTTATCAAATATTTATTTCTGGAATTTTCCATTTAATATTTTCAGACCAATGGTTGATTTCTAGTGACTGAAACCACAGACAGTGGATAAGGGGAGCCTACTATATTGCGACGAGGTTATGGTTTTCTCTACCAAATATCTAGAATTTCAGTTTGTAAAGCATGCATGAAGTAGCTCTTGGGTGAGGAGTGATGAGGACCTCACAGGCTAAACCCTAAGCACAGCATTCTGGTATCAGGCACTTGAGGAAGGACAATAGGCGCAGGAACAGGAAACCGGTGGTTTCATGTCTTAATGCAGATGCTGACTGAGCACCTCTGCTTTTCTTCTTTCCACTTGAGATATTCCAGACTCTGGATACTGCTGACATGCAGGCCAGCTCTGTGGCTATGTAATCTGTGCATTCTCAAAGACCGTTGTGCTTAGCTTAATGGTCCACCATCAGTCTTGAAATTCTTAGTGTTTCTTGAACAAGGGACCCCTCATTTTCATTTTTCAGTGGGCCCCACAAGTTATGTAGCTAATCTTGATGATGGGATTATATAACTAGTGATTAAAGCATGATTTTTAAAAGAGAAGACTAGGAACCCATGAATGTACTTTTAAATTTAATAAATTAGTAAAAGAAAAACAAGAACCTGAGTTGGAATTGCTTTTTCAAAAAACAGACTTTATTTTTTAGAGCAATTTTTGGTTTACAGCAAAATTGAAAGGCAGGTACAGAGAGTTCTCATATCCCTGCTGCCCACACATGTGCACAGCCTCTGCCATTAACAACATCCCACACCAGAGTGTTATATTAGCTACAATCCAACCAAGGAGGCTGCACTGGCACATCGTTACCACCCATCGTCCACAGTTTACATTACTGTCATTCTTGATGTTATACACTCTGGATTTGAACAAATGTATAACATGTATCCACCATTATAGCATCATACAAAGTGGCTTCACTGCCCTAAAAATCCTCTTCTCTGCCTCACTACCCATTCCTCCCTCACCACCATCCCACACCTGAACTCCTGGCAACCTCTAGTGTTCTTACTGCCTGCAATTTTTCCTTTTCCAGAATGCCATATAGTTGAAATCTTATAGTGCGTTGCCTCTCTGGAGTGGCTTCTTTCACTTAGTGATACACATTTACGTTTCTGCCTCCTCTTTTCCTGGATTTGCATTTTAACAGGCATTTAGGTACACCATTTTCTTCTGCGCTCACAAATAAGTGGCTGTGGAGCCACTTCCTACCTTACAAAGATGGAGATTAAACTTCTGTGGTTGGTGATATTGATCAAGGTTCCCACACCGTGCCTGCTGGCTGAGTGCTGAGCCGCTCTCCCTTGTCCCATGTCCCACCCTCCATCAGTGAAAAGCCTCCTTTTCTGGGTTTCCATTTAATGTTTCTTCCTTAACAGAGACTTAGGTTAGGGTGGTTCACATTCTAAACTCAAGCATGTTTGCCCAGTTGCCTATGACCTCCAGCCTTGTTAGGGAAAATACAACTCATGGTTGCTTTATATGGGCTCATTTATAGTAAGTGCTGCTGCAAACCAGTGCGTGAAAGAGATGGCGAACGTTTCTCTCGCCATCTGTCTCTGCCAGAGAACCAGGGAGTGAATATGAAGCTAAACGAGTTACAGCCAAGCATTTCCACACCACCTTACATAACAAGGACAGCAAAACTCTGACTTCTTACAGACCTCCGGGAGCTATTGGCTGTGGTGAATGGGAGAGACAATTTATTAGGGTGATGTATGTTTCTTAGTTTCTAATGATACATAAATTATCCCATGAGCCATGATACATATGGCTTAAAGAGAATTTTAAATGAAAGCAATTTTTTTTCTAGCTTCACTAATTGCCTAGCAGCAGTAAATTACTCATCCCCCATGGCCTATGGGCTGTGGTCATTACTCTCTCCTCGAGGTTGAGCAGATGTCCCCCAAGAGGAACATTTGCTCTGAAAAAGTGAATTTATATCCTCACTTGTGAGTCTGCCATGCTAGGGCTAGGGAGGGAGAGGGTATTAATCATGCCCTTTCGGACGTAGCACTGTGTTTGTGCTTTCCTACATGTGTTGTCT